TTTTTTTTTTTTTTTTTAAAGATTTTATTGGGGAATTGGGGGAGGGGAACAGAGAAGTTGCTGTCCTTTGGTTCTTCAGTCTAGCTGTGGAGGATGTCTCTTCACTGGCCCATGTTGGTATTATGATCATTGCGCTCTTCTGGGCTGAGGCAGTTGGTCGCTGGCCATTGGATAGCTGCTCACGGCAGCTCACAGCAGCTCTTGCCGACTGTTGGCCGCTCATGCTGTCTGCCGGCCACTCACGGCAGCACAGCTCCAGGCTGAGCTGTTGTTCACCATCTTAGCTGTAGAGGGCATAGCATCACTGGGCCTCATGTGTGATCCGAACCGGGGCCCTGCTGCCCAAGCCAACTCTTTTTTTTTTTTTTTTTAAGATTTTATTGGGGAATTGAGGGGAGGAGAACAGCATTGGGGAATTGGGGAAGGGGAACAGACAGGTAGACAAATTGCTGTTTTTGTTCTTCAGTCTAGTTGTGGAGGATGTTACTTCACTGGCCCATGTTGGTATGATCATTGTGCTCTTTCCGGGTGAGGCAGTCGGTCGCCGGTCATTGGTCGGCTGCTCACAGCAGCTCCCGGCAGCTCACACCGGCTGCAGCCACTCACAAAGCTCACGGCAGCCCCCTGCAGCCTCGCTGCAGCCTATGCTGTCGCTGGTGACTCACAGCAGTCTAGCTCCAGGTTGAGCTGTTCATCATCTTAGCTGTAGAGGGCGAGCATCACTGGCCCTCAATGTGGGATCCCAGCCGCAGCCCTGCTGCTCAGAGCTGGCGCTCTCAAGCAAGCTCTTAACCAGCGGAGCCACTCGGCCGGCCTCCAAGCCAACTCTTAACCAACACCCCACTCTGCCGGCCCTTCCCAACATTTTTTAATGAACTACTTTCTTCTTTAAGACTTAATAGTTTATAGTCATAGGGTACAGAATTGTAGGTTGGTGGTTTTTTCTTCTTAACACCTTAAATATTTCATTCTACTCTTTCCTTGCATGGTTTCTGAGAAGATGGATGTAATTCTTATCTTTGTTTTTCTATAGTAAGGTGCTTTTTTTCTTTTGATGTCTTTCAGGATTTTTTCTTTATCTTTGATTTTCTGTTGTTTGGAAATGATTTGTCTAGGTTTAGTTTTTTGGGGCACTTCTCTTGATCTCTGAGCATCCTGTATGTGGTTTGGTATCTGACTTTAATTTGGGGAAATTCTGTTATTGTTGCCAATATTTCTTCCGTTCATTTCTATCTGTCTTGTACTTCTGGCATTCCCATTTTGCGTATGTTGCACCTTTTGTAGTTATCCCACAGACCTTGGACATTTTGTTATTTTTTTCAGTCCTTTTTCTCTTTTTCAGTTTTGGAAGTTTCTATTGAGATACCCTCAAGCTCAGCTTCTTCAGCCATGTCCAGTGTATTATAAAGCCCATCAAAAGCATTCTTCATGTCTGTTACAGTGGTTTTGATCTCGAGCGTTTCTTTTTGGTTCTTAGGATTTCCAACTCTGCTTACATTGCCCATCTGTTCTTGCATGGTGTCTATTTTATCCATTAGAGCCCTTAGCATATTAATCATAGTTGTTTTAAATTCATGGTCTGATAATTCCAATATGCCTGCCATGTCTGGTTTTGAAGCTTGCTTTGTCCCTTCAAATTGTGTTTTTTGCCTTTTAGTGTGCCTTGTAATTTTTCTTTTGATAGCTGGACATGACATACTGAAAAAAAGGAACTCTTGTAAATAGGCCTTTAGTAATGTGGTAGTGAGGTGTGTTGGGAGGGGAAGCGTTCTATAGTCCTGTGAATTGGTCTCTGTCATTTAGTGAGCCTGTGCCTTTGGACTATGAACTTCACAAGTGTTTTAGTTTTTTTTCCTCCCTCCTTAGGTGGGAGAGGAGGCTGGAGTTGGGTATTTCCCTTCTCCCAGGTCAGTTAAGCTCTGATAATACTTAGCAGATTAGGCTCTAGTTAACTAGTTTTTCCAAAGGCATGCCTTGTTAAGAATAGAGTGCTCTGGTGTATTTCAGAATGGCTCCTCCCACTCCTCCAGCTCCACTCCTGTGGGAAACATAAGGGGATTTTTCTCTGATATTTACTGTTAGGACCTGGTTGAGCTCCTGGATGTAAATGTCACAAAATTTTGAGGGTGAGTCCCCCTTGAAGTTTTTCTTTAAAGACTTAATTTTTTTAGAGCAGTTTTAGTTTCATAACAACATTGAGAGGGAGGTAGAGATTTCCCATACATCCCCTGCCCCTACACATGCATAGCTTCCCCCATTGTCAGCATCACTCAGATTGGTACATTTGTACCAATCACCCAAAGTCCATAGCTTACCTTAGGGTTCATTCTTGTACATTCCATGGGTTTGAACAAATGTATAATGACATATATCCATCATTATAATATACAGAGTGTTTTCACTCCCCCCAAAACCTTCTGTGGTCTGCCTATTCATCCCTGGCAATCACTGATCTTTTTATTGTCTTTATGCTTTTGCCTTTCTATTCCAGAATGTCATGTATTTGGGATCAAGTAGGTAGCCTTTTCAGATTGGCTTCTTTCTCTTAATAATATGCATTTAAGGTTCCTCCATGTCTTTTCATGGCTTGATAGCTCATTTCTTTTTAGTGTTGAATAATATTCCATTTTCTGGATGTACCACAATTTATCCATTCACCTAGTGAAGGACCTCTTGGTTGTTTTCCAGTTTTGGCAGTTACAAACAAAGCTGTTATAAATATCCATGTGCAGGTTTTTGTGTGGACTGTCTTGGAGTTTTTAACTCTCAGACTTGTCCACATGAGCCTCCGGCAATTGGTCAATTAGAGTTCAGGTTTTCCTACTGGTTTCCATTTTAGATACCATTCCCGAGTCTCTGTCCCAATAAGCCATAACTCTTGTATTTTTTATATGTCTTCTTGCCTTACTTAAGGATCCTAGAAAAATTGTTAATTTTTCAGTCTGTTCAGCTTTTTACTTGATGAGACAGAGTGGTGATTTTCAAGCTCCTTACATGTAAAATTGGAAATTGGAAGTTCTGAACTACTTTTATAAAATGAAAAAGTGCATAAAAAAGTAGGGTATATATTTGATTTTAAAATGCAGGGTATATGGGCCGGCTGAGTGGCTTAGTTGCTTAAGAGCTTGCTCAAGAGTGTGAGCTCTGAGCAACAGGGTCACCAGTTCGATTCCCACATGGGCCAGTGAGCTACGCCCGAGCTGAGCTGCCAACAGGTGGCAGGATGACCCAGCTGGTAAGAGTACATGCTCCTAACAACAAGACTGCTTGTTCGAGATGGTGGGCTATGCCCACCCGCAACTAAGACTGAACTCAGCACCTTGAGCTGAGCTGCCACCCGGGTGGTTCAGTGGATAGAGTGTGCGCTCTTAATGAGGCTGCAAGTTCAACTTCCGCATGGGATGGTCGCTACGCCCACCTGCAACTAATTGGACACAGCATCTTGAGCTGAGCAGCGTGACTGGACTTGGAGCTGAGCTTGCTGCACCCTCCACAACTAAGATGGAAGGACAACAACTTGGCTGCTGCTCCCCTCCCCCAATTCCCCAACACTGTTTCCCTCCTCCAATCCCCCAATAAAATCTAAAAAAAAAAAAAAAGTAGGGTATATGTGATTTTATAAAGTAGGGTATATATGCCCAAAAAATGTATATATATGACTTGTATTCATCTTTTGTTATCGGTATATATTGAGTATTACAATTTTAATACAATTTTTTTCTTTCTTAAAATGTGTATACATTTTTTTTGGCACCCCCTGTGTATATGATTTAAAAAATTAAATTATATGGAAGGGAATACAATGAAATATTTAAGTCTCTTTTCCATCCTAGACCTTAGTTCTCCAAACCTTCTCCCTAGAGGAAACCACTTTTAATAGTTTCATGTATATTCTTCTGCCAGTAATCTCAGCATACACAAATATATGTGTATATGTAAACTTTTTGTAAAAAACAAAAAACAAATAGAATCATTTAATATGTACTGGACCTTGTTTTTGCTTCTTACAAGTTCATTACATATCAGCGCACAATCTATTTCTTTTTTTTTTTTATGGCTGCAAATTGTTGTGTTAGGTATGTATGTCAACATTTAACACCTTTCACCTCCCCATGATGAACATATATGATATTTCTAGACATTTAATTAAAATCTGTGTAGCCATGTACATGCATCTTTGCAATATGTGATGATATATTCATGAGATACATTCTTAGAAGTTATGTCCTTAATGTTAGTAAATACATATAACTTTTATGGTTATAACATGAGTTTTTTATCCCCCACTCCTTTAGAAAGAAGCCTAAGAAGAAAGAAAACGAGACTGGATGTAGACAGTCAATGCGATTACGAAATGTAGATCCTCCAGAAGTTTCATTACCAGCAACCCCAACCAAGCTAACATTAGTAGCAGAGGAAAAAGTAAGAAATGCAAATATAATATGTTAAATCAATAGAATACTGAAAATTTTGAAGTGTTTGAAACTAGACTACAAGGTCATTAAATTATGTTTAATTTGTACTTTATTTAATACTTGACAGTTGTATGGTGTAATGAGTAAGATTTCTAAGTCATTAAGACTGGATTGGATTCTGTATTCCTGAAGGCTACTTGTTGTGGGATTGTGGGTAAATTACTTAAACTTTCTGAGTCCTGTCATCCCCATTTTTTTAAATGGCAACAATAACAGAAACCTCAAATTTTTTTGAAGCCTTCAACCACAATAAGAAATATATTTACGGCCGATCGAGTGGTGCGTTGGTTAAGAGTTGGCTTGGGACGCCAGCTCTGAGCAGCAGGGCCCTGGTTCGGATCCCACATGAGGGCCAGTGATGCTGCGCCCTCTACAGCTAAGATGGTGAACAACAGCTCGACTTGGAGCTGGGCTGCCGTGAGTCGCCGGCGACGGCATAGGCTGCAGTGGGGTTGGCCGGCAGCTGATGTGAGCTGCTGTGAGCTGCCTTGAGCGGCCGTCCAATGGCCGGCGAGTGACTGCCTTACCCGGGAAGAGTGCAGTGATAATACCAACACGGGCCAGTGAAGCGACGTCCTCCACACTAGGCTGAAGAACAAAAGGACAGCAACTTGTCTGTTCCCCTTCCCCGATTCCCCAGTGTTGTTCCCCTCTCCCAATTCCCCAATAAAATCTTTAAGAAAAAAAAAAAAAAAAGGAAATATATTTACATTGAACTCACTACACACACACACACACACACACACACACACACACACAACGAAAACCAAACTTGTAAAATGATACCCTTACTACATGTGATGTACTTTTGTATTTTGAATTCTATTTTTTTCTCATCACTAAAACATCGTTGGTTGTGACTTTTTTTTTTTTTTTTTGGCACAAATTTTTTTTTGTTGTTGTGATGGAGACTTAAGATCTACTTTTGTAGCAACTTTTAAATATACAATACAGTATTCTTTAAAAAAAATTTTTTTATTTCCCAATTACAGTTGACATTTAATATAATTTTATGTTAGTTTCAGGTGTAGAGCTTGTGGTTAGACATTTATGTAATTTACAAAGCAATCCCCATAATTAGTACCCATTTGGCACTATACATAGTTTTTACAATATTGATTATATTCCCTATGTTGTATGTCTCCGTGGCTATTTGTAACTATCAACTTGTACTTGTTAATCCCTTCACCTTTTTCACCCAGCCTTCCAACCCCTCGTTATGACATATTAAAATGATTTCATGACCAGTGGGTTACGACCTGTGATTTAAAAAACACTGGCTTAGAATAATAACTTTGAGTAATGAAATTGAACTACCTGAATCAGCAACTCCGGTTATTGGCAGTGTAACTTTGGACAAGTTAACTTCTCTAGGTTTTATTCCAAAATGTGGTACCTCATTCACTGATTATTGAGAAGATTAAATGAGGTAATACATTTTATTACTTTATAGGATACATGGCATTCATTCATTGAACAACTGTTTTTGAAAAATGCTAATGATATGTCACCCCTGAAAGTAAAGTAGTAAAAAAACCTCAAGCTTATATTCTAGGGCAAAGCAACAAACAATCAACATTTTCTTGTTTTTATAACAGCCTTTGTTACCTCCTGGGCCTTTAGAAATGACTCCCGAAAATCGAGATGACAACAGTGAACTATTCAAAGAATTTTTACAGACTTGGGCTGAAGTGAGCAAGGTATCACTTGGGAGGGCTTATGTAAGCTTTTACAATCATTTACTAATGACATTTCAGTGCATATATTAATTTAGTACTTTGGTTTCTTCTGTTGTTTCAGACAAGTAATAAGAATGTTGAGAAGGAGTTATCTAGCATTAAAATGTGAGTTCAAATTTCTCGCCTTTGTTTTACATTTTCTGAGATGTTTAAATTATAAAGACTATATACCATTATAGGAAATTTTGAAAATGAGTTGAAAAAAATTATCCATAATGTTTCCACCTTAACAACTGTTGTTTTTGCCTATTTCCTTTAAAGTATTATCATATGCAGTACCACAAGGATATAAGCTTCATGAATGCAAAGGTTTTCTCAATAACCAGAACAGTGCCTGGCACATAGTATACATTCATTCAATGTTTAATAAGTGAATGACTCCACATACATTTTTACTCTGTTATGTTCTAATGTATATATAATTTTATATATTGCTTTTTCATTAACATTGTGGCTGCATGCTACTAGTGTCTTTAAAGTTATTGAATAATTATATAATATCCCATTGAGTAGGTAGAATGTACTTAACCTCCCCTTACCCCTTGGTATTCAGAGTTGTTTTCTATTTATTGAGTTGTTGCAAAAGTCATGACGCATTTTTGCAATGGAAAACAGAAAAAATACGTCATAACTTTTCTGACAACCCAGTAGTTTTGTGTGTTTCTATGTGGGCATGTATTTGTTGAAGTGTATATTTATGATAGCAGATTATTTTCTTAGAATAGATTCCAGAAGTGAGATTAATGAGTCAAATATTATGGACATTTTTACGGCTTTTGGTATGCATTGCTGAATTATTTTCCAAAATCTTTTTTTTTTTTCTGAAAATCTTATATGAACTTATTCTGTCATTAGCAATATATATGAATGTATGTATTTAACTGCAGCCTACTAGTGTTCATAAGTGAAAAATAATACTGAATAGTAGTACCATTATTTAATTTGATATCTTTGGTTGCCAGGAGGTTGAATATTTTCCCACATTTATTTACTAATTATGATTTTTCTTTTTTGAGTCATCTTATTTTGTCTGTTGAGATTGGTTTTACTTCTAAAATTTAACTTTTTAATTTTCTCAGCTACAAAGACAATTTAAGTGGCATGGCCATTAGTGAAGATACGGTTCATAAACTTACCAAAGGTGCAATTTACTCTGTGGCTTTCCACCCATCAGAAATTAAAACTTTGGTGGCAGCTGGGGCAAAATCTGGGCAAGTTGGACTTTGGGATTTGGTAAGTTATTAACTTTTTTAAGATATTAAGGTTCGACTGAAGCAAATAGTCTGCAAGAAAATAGCCTAGAACCATGTGTTTATAGATGTTACTTATTTATAGTTTTGTGCTTTGTGATTTCCAATCTTAGAAATCTGGAGGAATTTAAATTTGCTTTATAGAACTGTAACATTTTTAGCTTGAATATCGTTAGTCATCTAGGCATAAATTAACTGCCAGGAAACTTTATTACAACTTTAAATACATATATAAAAAGATCATGGACCGGCCGAGTGGCACGTTGGTTAAGAGTTGCCTTGGGATGCCAGCTCTGAGCAGCAGGACCCCGGTTCGGATCCCACGTGAGGGCCAGTGACACTGCGCCCTCTACAGCTTAGATGGTGAGCAACAGCTCGACCTGGAGCTGGGCTGCCATGAGTCGCCAGTGACGGTGTAGGCTGCAGTGGGGTCCCGTAAGCTACTGTGAGCGGCTTGCAGCCGGCGTGAGCTACTGTGAGCCGCCGTGAGCGGCCGATCGGTGGCTGGCGACCGATCTTCCTCACCCGGGAAGAGCGCAATGATAATACCAACATGGGCCAGTGAAGTGACATCCTCCACAACTAGACTGGAAAACAAAAGGACACCAACTTGTCTGTTCCCCTTCTCTGTTTCCCCAATGCTATTCCCTTACCCCCCAATTCCCCAATAAAATCTTTAAAAAACAAAAGGGAACATCACACAAAGATCTTATTTTTCTAATTATGTTTAAGATAGTTTCTAAGCTGAATCAAAATGTCTTCCTAGGGATCTGCTTAGGATGATCCCAGTCATCTTTTGATGAATCAGAAACAGACATTGAATTCCATTCATTGCACATATAATTCTACATTGATTGTTTTTAGTGGTTACAAAATTGAGAAAAGCCAAGTTAATGTTCTCTGAATTTATTTACTAATTGGGGAATTAGAACAAAGATCTGAAATATGCCATAAGGACAATTAATGAAGATGAAGAAACCATGGTGACTTGAAGCTGTTTGGGGTTGATAAACAGATTTTATGAGTGAGAAAAAGAAATAACCATTTTCTCTTATTTTGGGAGCAAAGATTCTCTCATGTTTTGATAAGATGTGAGTAGGGGTAGGAGATGAAAGGGTTTGGTAAAGAAAACTGAAGTAGAGAAGTGGGAAGAGGACCAGAACTAGTATAAGGTTGTAGAAGTTAAGAGATGAGTTTCAGGGATGGGAGTTTGATAAGTGTCTTGCAGAGAAGTTAAAAAGAATGGAACAGAGAAAAGGCCTTTGGATTAGAAAACAGGGTACCATTAAAAAGTTGAGACAATAGCTTTAACAATGAGATAAGGAAGGAACACAGACTTTAGGAGATTAAAAAAAGTATGGGGTGGTAGAAGAAATGGAAACAATGGATAAAGACTATTGAAGAACTTTGAAAAGGAAAAAGAGAATTTGCAGAGTCAAGTGAAGATCTTTTCATGGGGGTTGATCTCTACAGAGTTCAGGACATGTAGAAAAGTCCCTTTGCTATGTCTTTTCTGGTGACTCCAAAAATGTGTTATTAAGTCTCTGTAGTCCAGAGACTTATCTCCAGAGACTGTATCTCCATCAACCTTCTCATTTTTCAGGACACTTGGCTATCTCATTAACAGACTTAGCAAGTCTAAAACCACTATCTTGGTGGTCTTGTGCTCATTTCCTAACTCCCCTAGAGAAAAAAAATTAACTTAATTGAGGCATCATTTACATATTATAAAATCCACACATTTTAAATGTACAATTCAGTGATTTTTAATAAGTTTACGGAGTTGTGTAACTATCATCATAAGCCAGTTTTGGAATATTTTCATCATCCCTGTAAGATTCCTCATGGTTACTTACATTTAATTCCTATTTCTACCCTCATCCCCAGGCAAATCTTCACAAATTTGCCCCTTTTGGACATTTCATATGAATAGAATCCTACAATATGTGGTCTTTTATGTTGACTTTTTTCTGTTAGCATGTTTTCAAGGTTCATCTGCAGTGTAGCATGTATCAGTACTTCATTTTTTAATTTTTATTGCTGAATAGTATTCTATTGTCTGACTATACCACATTTTGTTTATTCATCACTTGATAGACACGTGGGTTGTTTCCACTTTCTGGCTATTCTGAATAATGCTACTACTATGAACACTTGTGTACACATATTTGTGTGGCTGTGTGTTTTAATTTTTCTTGGGTAGATACTTGGGATTAGAATTGCTGGATCATATGGTAGGTAACTTTAACATTTTAAGGAACTACGAAACTGCTTTCCAAAATAGTTGCAATATTTTATATTCCCACTACCATTGTATGAGGGTTCCAATGTCTCCACATGCTCACCAACACTTTGCTTTTTGAGTATAGCCTTTCTTGTGGATGTGAAGTATATCTCACTGTGGGTTTTTTTTTTTTTTAAATTGGGGAATTAGGGGAGGGGAACAGTGTTGGGGAATTGGGGCGGGGACCAGCCAAGTTGTTGTTCTTCAATCTTAGTTGTGGAGGGTGCCAGTCGCCACCTGGCTGCCTGTTGGCAGCTCATGGCCTCTAAGCTCAAGGTGCTGTGTTACAATCTTAGTTGCGGGTGGGTGTAGCCACCATCCCATGGGGGAGCCGAACCAGACAGCCTTGTTAAGAGTGCATGCTCTATCCACTAAGCCATCTGGGTGGCAGCTCAATTCAAGGTGCTGAGTTAAGTCTTAGTTGTGGGCGGGTGTAGCCCACCATCAAACAGGCAGTCCTGTTGTTAGGAGCATGTGCTCTCACCAGCTGAGCCATCCTGCCACCTGTTGGCAGCTCAGCAGCAGCTCTCAGCTCGGGCGCAGAGTAACTGGCCCATGTGGGAATCGAATCGGTGGCCCTGTTGCTCAGAGTTCGCACTCTTAAGCTAACTCTTAACCAACTGAGCCACTTGGCCGGCCCTGTCTCTGATTTTCATTTGCATTTTTCTAATGACTAATGAGGTTGAGCATCTTTATATGTCACTTGGATATCTTTGGTGAAATGGCTATTCAGACTTTTGTCAATTTTTTATTAAGTTGTTTGTCTTATTGAGTTTGTAAGTGTTCTTTGTATATTCTAGATACAAATACTTTATGAGATACATGATTTGCAAATAATTCTCCTGTTCTATGACTTGTCTTTTCATTTTCTTAACGATGTCTTTTAAAGTGCAAAAGTTGTGAATTTTGATGAGGTCCTATTTATCAAATTTTTTTATGGATTATACTTTTGGTGTTGTATCTAAGAAATCTTTGTCTAGCCCAAAGTCTTTAAGATTTTCTATGCTTTTTCTAAAATTTTAGCTTTCACATTTAGTTCACTGATCCATCTTGAGTTATTTTTTTTGTATATGATGTAAGATAAGGGCCCAAGTTCATCTTTTGTATGTGAATATGCAGTTGTCCCAGCACAATTTGTTGAAGACAATTCTTTTCCTATTGAATTGCTTTAACACTCCCTTGGTTTTTCCTCTTAACTTTCTTCTGTCAGATTTGTAGTCTCTCCTAGGATTAAAAGTTGAGTTACCATTTATTCAGTCATCCATGTACCCATTCATTCCATACTTATTGAGTCTTTTGTGCTAAGTACTATTCTAATAACGCCATTAGACATTTGTGAGCAAAGACCATCTCTGTCCTCATAGAGTTTAGAATTTAGTAGCAAAAGCAGCATTAATGAAATAATTACCAACTATGTAATTACATATTTGATAAGTGGATTATATGCTGTGATTAATGTTGTGAAGGAAAAGTATCGTTACGAAAACACATAAAAGGGACTGGCCTAATTTGGAGAATCAGGGAAAACTTCTCTGAGAAAGTGAGAATTGAGACTTGAAAGCTAAGTAGGAGTAAACCAAGTAAAGGGAAAGAGTGTTTCAAGCAAGGGGAGCAGCATGTCAAGGACCTTAGGCAGAAGGGTGCCTACTTGATATTCAAGGACATGAAAGAATGCCTGTGTGGCTGGAGTATAGACAGCAAAGGAGTGAACAGAGGGGACGAGTGGAATAGGAGGAAGCCATAGAGGTGGGCAGAGGCCAGATGTATATCTTTATAAGTTTTATTAAGAATTCGGGTTTTTGGGCCGGCCGAGTGGCGCGATGGTTAAGAACTCGCTTGGGATGCCAGAGGGCCCCGGTTCGGATCCCACATATGAGGGCCAGTGACACTGCCCTCTACAGCTAAGATGCTGAACAACAGCTCAACCTGGAGCTGGGCTGCCGTGAGTCGCCGGCGACGGCGTGGGCTGCAGTCCCTGTGGCAGTGGATTGCCATGGGCTACCGTGTGTGGCCAGCAGCCAGCGTGAGCGGCCAGCAGCCGCAGTGAGCGGCCGTCCAGAAGCCGGCGACTGATCTGCCTCGCCAGAGAAGAGCGCAATGATGGTGCCAACTTGGGCCAGTGAAGCAACATCCTCCACAACTAGATTGAAGAACAAAACGACAGCAACTTGTCTGTTCCCCTTCCCCCAATTCCCCAGCACTGTTCCCATCCCCCCAATTCCCCAATAAAAATCTTTAAAAAAAAAAAAAAAAAAAAAAAAGAATTCGGGTTTTTATCCTAAAAGTAACTAGAAGCCATTCAAGAGTTTTTTGTTTTTTGTTTAAAGATTTTTTTATTGGGGAATTGCGGGGTTGGGAAAAGTGCTGGGGAATTGGGGGAAGAGGAATAGACAAGTTGCTGTCATTTTGTTCGTCAGTCTAGTTGTGGAGGATGTTGCTTCACTGGCCCAAGTTGGCACCATCATTGCACTCTTCCCGGGCGAGGCAGATCAATCGCCAGCTTCTGGACGGCCGCTCACTGCGGCTGCTGGCCGCTCACGCTGGCTGCTGGGTACATACAGTAGCCCATGGCAACCCACTGCCACAGGGGCTGCAGCTAAGCCGTCGCTGGCAACTCACGGCAGCCCAGCTCCAGGTTGAGCTGTTGTTCAGCATCTTAGCTGTGGAGGGCAGTGTCACTGGCCCTCATATGTGGGATCCGAACCGGGGCCCTCTGGGGTCCCAAGCCAGTTCTTAACCATTGCGCCACTCGGCCGACCCCCATTCAAGAGTTTTAAGCAGGTCATCCCTTCATTCCTTATGGCTAGTAAAGTGCTTTAATGGTTTTGCCCCTTCATTTCATCCTTACTGCTACTATGTTGGGCCAGGGCCCCATCTCCTTTTTTGGGATTACTGTAATAGTCTTAACTGGTGCTATAACTTCCAGTTTTTTTATTCCAATCCATTGTGCACAGATAATCATTTCCAGACAACAAACTGGTCCTGTACTCATTTAAAGTAGTTTAAAGTAGTTAGAAGCATTCTTTTTTAAAAAAAACTTTATTGGGGAACAGCAACAGTCATTGGTTACACATTGCTTTCATGCTACAATGGCATAGTTGACTATTTTAGGGAGGGCGTAGCTCACAGTGGCCCATGCGGGGATTGAACTGGCAACCTTGGTGTTATCAGCACCACACTCTAACCACCTGAGCCAACTGGTCACCCCAGAAGCATTCTTAACCTGGTATATTCAGTTTAAAATGGGGGGTGGGATTTTCCAATAGAATAAGCAAAAGATAGTCAAATCAGACCAAAAAAAATCACTTACAATAATAAAGAAATGTAACTTAATGCAGTGTACTTCAAAAACTAGCCATCAAAGACAAATTCTGTAGCCAAGCTGGGGGGCACAGCATGGTTTGGCTTCTACCCTGCCCAACCCCCTAAATCCATACTGGTGAATTAACCAGACCCTGACAATTTTCACCTGTATTCTCAAAACTAAAGAGAAGCACATTGAGTGGATATTTAGATCTTTCCTCTTTTGAGTGAGGAATAGCGAAATGGCTGCTCTGGGGTGGGGTGGGGTGGGGGTAGAAATGGAGAAAAAAGCAGAGAGTGAGAAAAGTGAATGGTAGCACTAATTCTCTACAAAGGCGATTTTCTTAGCCTATGGAGTGGTGGTATAAGCCACCACCATCACAAATGGGTGGTATGAATCCTGGTATAAAACAATGAGCAAAATCTCAGACTAGGAATGCCAACAAATAGTATGTACTGTTTCAGCTGAAACCAACTGTCTACCTCCCTCTTCCTGTCCCATCTTTTTTCCGAGCTACAGAAACGCCTGTCCTTCTCTGAGGAAAAAATGAACTAGTATTAGGTACTAGGAGAAAAATTCAATAAGGTATATCAGAGCAACCAGAATGGGCAGATCAACTCCAGGATGATGAAAATGAAAAGAAATGATGTGGCAACTAGATAAGCGCTGTCACAAAAACAACAAAAGAACCTAGCATGCAAAGACAGACCTAGAAGAAAAACATGAGGAAGGAAATTTTCTTCAGTTGCTCGAGACTGTAGAACTACTGTTCAGTACAGTAGCTACTAGTCATGTGAGACTATTTTCATTTAAATTAATGTAGAAAACTCAGTTCTTCAGTTACACTGGGCACATTTCAAGTGCTTAATAGCCACACATGGCTAGTGGATAGTGCATACATATATTTTTGTCATCTCAGAAAGTTCTTTTGGACGGTGCTGCTGTGGAACAAGTTAATAACACTGGTTTGGTAAAATAAGACTCAAAGAGAAGATGATAAAACAACAGAATGAGATGGAAAAAAAGGAGATTGCAGAACTAAGGACACAAATTGAAGATCAGTGAAACTAATAAATTAGAAGCAAGGAACATAGTAGACCTTGCTAAAATTAACTTACAGACATTAAAGGAAAGATTAGAAGGAATATCAAACACAGATGAAAAAAGCTCTGAGACAAGCCAGTAGTAAAGGAAAGACAGTCAAAGACGACCCTGGGACAGAATGGGACAGAAAATACATTCAAAGAGAGTTTTTCTGAAAAGGCAGAATTGAATTGGTAGATTGAATGTATACATCATGTTCTAGGAAAAATTTGGAGCTTAAAGGATAAAATTCTTCAGGCAGAAAAAACATATTCAAGGGGAAAAGCCAGGCTTGCCTCAGTTTTTTACAGCAACATTTCTTATAATGTCTACAAAGTTCTGAGGGAAAGAAGTATGGTCCCAGAATACTTACCCAGCCCAAGATACCCCTCTAATGTAAAGGCAGCAGGTAGGTATTCTCAATTGTGAAAAAAACTAAAAAAATTTAAGACCTATGAGTTCATCTGGAAGAAAACTGTTTGACAGAAAATCTCAGCCATTTAAGAGTAAATCAGAATTCAGGAATGGAGAAGCTTGACAAAAGAATTGATGAGCATTGAATCCATTTAAATGCAGAAATAATATTAAACATCTATACAAATTATGGTTACAGAACTAGATGTGACTGTATTAACCTGGACAAAATAAAAAATAAGATAACAAAATATAGGATGGAGAAAGAGGAGATTGGAGGAGGGATGAGAATAATGTCCCCATGAATAGAGATCATCTAGAATTGAGATAGTTAAAAAATAAAAATGCATAATCAGTACAAGTGCTTTAAGTTTTATACTCTCCTTTTTAGGAGATATCTCTTGTAAAAAAATACTTGAAGTCCAAAAATTTCTTCAGCTTGATTTTCTTTTATTATTTTAAAGTATAGTTTTATTTAATGCTATTAATAATGGCATATGTAGCATGGTCTTATTCTTTTATTAAATTTCTGTCTTTCTATCTCCATAAGTACATATAAAGATATGTGTAAAGATCACTTACAATTTTAATGATAATTCTGGTTAATTTTGGATTTGGAGTGAATTTTTAAAAACTTCTGTCTTTGTACATATCTGTATTGTTTGAGTTCTTTTTAACAACGGAGAGTTGTTTTTCTAAAAATAAGTTCTATAAACAAATATGCCAAGATGTTAACAGTGGTAAACTCTGGGTAGGAGGAGGAGTGTGTGTGATTGTGATTTTTTCCCTTCCTTTTCTTCTTTTTAAAAATTCTTCTGTTTATTTTAAAATTTAAAATAAAAAACCGCCAAAATGCTGGAGTGTTGTAGAGCAGACTAAACCAGATTAGGAGATGATAGTTGAACCAGATGATAAATGGTAGATGGTAATGTGAACCAGGGCATAAGAATGTAATTTATCCAAATCTGAGAAGTGATGACTAAGGAGTTGGTAATCCAGTTGTGGAAAGGGTGATCCCTACCAGTAATAATATTAATGTGGAAATTCAAATACATGCATTTTCATGGTGTATTTAGGGGATAAAATATTTCTAAAATTCTCATTTTGTGCCAGGACCAAACACCTTACAAAAATTGTGCTGAGGATGATGTACATACTCATTTTATGTAGCAACATACTTAGGAAGCAAAGTGGTAATGGTATTGATATTGTTTTTGGTATAAGGGATTATACTATATGTGACATGAAGAGTAGATTTCTCGTTTCCTGAGGTTTTCATGAACTGAAATCATAATAAGCAGTAATTTTTTCTTTCTGTATTATGATAAAACTGGGTATCCAGTTGCAAAAAGCTGGAAACTTAAAATAAATGTGACTTATTGTTCGATTGAAAATTAGAAAATAGCACTTTAGTGACAATATAAAGTTTCTGTTGGGTTGTCAGAAAAGTCATGATGTATTTTTTTCTATGTTTTTCGTTGCAAAAATGCATCATGACTTTTCTGACAACCCAGTAGTTCTGACTTTCTAAAGGGGAGGTGGGTACAATTATAGACTAAGAAAAGACTAAATGTAATACAGATGTAAATAGTTGAGTGACATAATGACACAGAAAATATTACTACTTTTTACTAGTTTTTATCTCTCTCCCTGCCCCCAACTCTTTTTCAGACTCACCAACCTAAAGAAGATGGAGTTTATGTTTTTCAGCCCCATAGAGGGGCAGTTGGCTGTCTTTACTTCTCGCCTGCCAATCCTGCTCACATACTGTCACTGAGCTATGATGGCACATTACGCTGTGGAGATTTTTCCAGGGCTGTTTTTGAGGAGGTAAATGCTAATGTGTTTACATGTTGACTTCATATGATATTCTGGAGTCTTTATGAAATGCCACATGAATGATTATTATACAGGTCAGATTGGGTGAGGTGGCATAGAATAGGGACTTTATTACTACACTGCCTATGTCCCAAAGCATCTACCTATTACTACTTGTGTGACCTTGGCATGGTACTTACACCTCTTTGTGCCTCAATTTCCTTAGTTGTGAAATAGGATAGTACCTTATAGGGTTGTCATGAGGATTAAATGTAGATAATGAAGTCCATTTCCTAGTAAGTTTCACAGGGTAAATCTGCAGCTGAGGTTTATTGGATTTAAGAGATTTGGGATGTAGCCCTGACACGTGTGGATGAGCCATTTGATTTAGGTGAAGTCACAGCTGATCAGTGCCTTAGCTTCCAGCTCTGTAAATGGGGATGGTCATTTTACCCGGTGCTTCCTGTGGGGATGTCGGGAGGATAAGTGAAGCTATTGTATTTGGGTAAAGTGTTTTGTAACTCTTTTATCAAAGAATTTATGTAGTGGCTTTCTTTAAAAGAAGAGTGTTATATACGTTGATTATTACTTATATCCTTAGGTATATAGAAATGAAGAAAGTAGCCTTTCCTCCTTTGACTTCTTGGCAGAGGATGCCTCAACTTTAATAGTAGGACACTGGGATGGAAGTATGTCACTGGTGGATAGACGGACACCTGGAACTTCTCCTGAAAAACTTATCAACTCTTCTATGAGAAAAATAAGAACTGTCCATGTCCACCCAGTGCAAAGACAATATTTTATCACTACAGGATTGAGGTATGTTCTTCATAACATTTTATGATTTAGGCTAGACATCTGACTTTTGTGATACCCACAGCCAAATAATTTTCCTTTCCACACAGACTGAGGTTTTTTCTTGAGTGTGATTTTTATTTATTTTTTAAATGAGAAATTCTTTTGGATTTAATAAATAGTGAAAGTATTGGAACAAATACACATTTTTGTTTTTCTTGGCATCATATGCATTTAATTCTAGTCTTTTGAGAAGAAAACTTGTTAAAAATAAAGTTATATGTGACCTATAACTTGTTGGTCTGTGTTCATTTTTTTTGGAGAGATTGGAAAGCCAACTAGAATTTTGTCTCTCTATACCTACTAGTTACATTGTTATGCTGTGGCTTTGGAATTTTTCTAATATTTTTTATCTATACGTGTTTGTAAAATTAATACAGAAGATTAGAGGGTTCTGTCTTAACTATCCTTCAGTGTAGTGAGTATTTGAGTATAATTTATGTTCAGCGCTATTCTAGAGGCTCACTACATGCACTGTGGTAGTAACACTGAGAATTATTCCTCCCCTTACAGGGACATTCATATTTATGATGCAAGGCGCCTGAATCCCAGGGGAAACCAGCCTTTGATTTCTGTGACTGCACACACAAAGAGCATCGCTTCTGCTTATTTTTCACCTCTTACTGGTAACAGAATAGTGACCACATGTGCCGATTGTAAGCTGAGGTAAATTGGGAAGACAGAAATATGTTGTTAAGGAATCTAAAGCGTCTGTAGCTACTATGTCAGAAAACCAGCAGCTTTATTTACTGCTGCTCCCTGTTCAATCACTAGTGTTACTGTTTTGTAGCTATATCTAGGATACCGATGATTAATGACCTGTATTTAATGGCTTTTCAACAGTTTTTTTGTCTGGACATTTCCTTGAGATTTTCAAGGAAGGTCTATAGCTACCCTGGGGAATGGATGTCAGGCTTCCCTTTTATCACTGAATAGTCCCAGAAATCCCAATGAAAGCAGGCTTGTGATACCTGGAAAATAAATACTTAGAGTACAGGGAGAAGCACTTACCATATAAGTGAAGTGCTGAATGGAAGTTGCAGAGCCCCAGGCAGGCAGAAAGGATAGCAAAAATTTGGCTTCTGTAAAAACTACTAGATACAGTTTTATGGTTTCAGCTTTGGTACCTTTCTATAGCTACTTGCTAAAAGTGAGTTTAAAAATGTAATATAAAGTAGTTGAACCAAATATAGAAAATAATGCCAATAAAAAAAGATGTGGAGAATTTTTTTTTTTTTTTAAGATTTTATTGGGGAATTGGGGGAGGGGAACAGTGTTGGGGAATTGGGGAAGGGGAACAGCCAAGTTGTTGTCCTTCAGTCTTAGTTGTGGAGGGCGCAGCAAGCTCAGCTCAAAGTCCAGTTGCTATCTGGCCGCAGCTCGCAGCAGCTCAGCTCAAGGTGCTGTGTTCAATCTTAGTTGCAGGTGGGCCATCTCATGCAGGAGTTGAACCGGAAACCTTGTTGCAAAGAGCGCACGCTCTAACCACATAGCCATCCGGCCGCCCGTCAGCAACTCAGGGTAGCTCAGCTCAAGGTGCTGTGTTCAATCTTAGTTGTGGGTGGGCATAGCCCACCATCCCATGCAGGAGTTGAACAGCAGCCTTTTATTAGGAGCATGTGCTCTCACAAGCTGAGACATCCTGCCACCTGTTGGCAGCTCAGCGATAGCTCAACTCGGACACAGCTCACTGGCCCATGTGGGAATCGAACCGGTGACCCTGTTGCTCAGAGCTCATTCTCTTAACCAACTGAGCCACTCGGTTGGCCCGGCTGAAGTTTTTAGAGCCTGATTCTGTATATTTAAAAATAATCATATTTCATATCATGAACCAATAAAAATCTTGTTAAACACACTGTTATTTCAGGAAATTTGCAAGAAACAATAGAGTGTTACTTGTTCATCTTTATTTTGCAGAATCTATGACAGCAGCTGTATATCCTCTGAGATTCCTCTCCTCACTACCATCAGGTAGGTTTCCACATGCCGAATAATACAGACCCTGGATTACTATGAGCTGTTTGTTGGAGTTCATACATAAAACACCTGATTGTCAAAGAGATGTAATAGGTCGGATTTTTGTATTACATTGTTGAAGTGTCCCAGGTTGCTAGTTCCCATCCTATCCAGTGTTCTTGTTTCCAGGTTCCCTGTGTCTTTAAAGAGGTTCAACCTCTCTTAGTCAGTAGCTATTCTTTGCAGCTGGGTGGTTATTTTTGGATAAGGTAAATGACTTTATTCCAAACTAAATTACTCATGTAATCTTATTGAAGAAGACTATGACTACTTACCTGCTGATGAGGCTAGCTGCCTGAAGCTTTGTTTGTGTCTATTTGTTCTGGGCTTCCCCCCCTTCCTATTTATTTTATTTCTTTGGTTACCCTCTTTTTTTTTTTTTTTTTATTGGGGAATTGGGGGGATGGGAACAGCGGTGGGGAATTGGGGGAAGGGGAACAGACAAGTTGCTGTCGTTTTGTTCTTCAGTCTAGTTGTGGAGGACGTTGCTTCACTGGCCCAATTTGGCACCATCATTGCGCTCCTCTCGGGCGAGGCAGCTTCTGGACAGCCACTCACTGCGGCTGCCAGCCGCCCACGCTCGCTGCTGGCTACACACGGCAGCCCATGGCAACCCCCTGCCACAGGGGCTGCAGCCTACGCTGTCGCTGGCGAGGCGACTCATGGCAGCCCAGCTCCAGGTCGAGCCGCCGTTCAGCATCTTAGCTGTAGAGGGCAGTGTCACTGGCCCTCATATGTGGGATCCGAACTGAGGCCCTCTGGCATCCCAAGCCAGTTCTTAACCATCGCGCCACTCGGCCGGCCCTGGTTACCCTCTTTTTACATTTACTTTTATTTAGTGTATGCATTTTATATCAAACTTGACTCAGTGCCTTTGGCCTAGACATCCCGCTTTCTCAATGTTTATGAAGGTGGGGACAGGGTATGGAATATATGTTGATTGTTGCTTTATGAGTTTTGTAGTTTATAGAAGCTATATTTAAGTATGTTTGTTTTCTTTTTCACAAATTTCCCCCTTTTAATTTCCTTTTCCACACTTTATTCTAGTTCATTAGTTTCTAATGTGTATTTAAAAAAATTTACCTAAGGTGATGATTCTGGGGTCAGTATGAATTTTCTTTAAAGATAGTGTTATTGAGTGGCAATGGAAAATGTGGTTCTTCGTAGTTCATACTTCTTTAATAAGAAAGCGTTGTTAATGATATTAAGGTATAGAAATGAAAGGGCAATATGTTTCCTTTTGCTTTGGAGAGCTGTAAAAGAGCCCCAAATGTATTTTTTTAGTTTTAATTTTGTTTTTAGTAGTGGTTATAAACACATAACATTAAATTCATCATCTTAACCATTTTTAAGTGTACAGTTAAATAGTGTTAGGTATATTCACATTGTTGTGTAATAGATTTCTAGAACTTTTTCTTCTTGCAAAACAAAGTGTGTACATTAAATATTAATTCTTCCTTTCTCCTCTGTCAGACCTTGGCAACCATCTTTCTACTTTCCATTTCTATGATTTTGACTACTTTAGGTACTTCATGTGGTATTTGTCATATCGTGACTGGCTCATTTCACTTAGCATAATGTCCTCGATGTTCATTCTTGTTCTAGTATGTGACAGTATCTCCTTTTTAAAGGCTGTATAATATCCCATGTATGTCTATGCCTCATTTTCTTTATTCATCTGTCATGATACATTTGGGTTGGTTTTTCCTCTTGGCTATTATGAAAAATGCTGCAGTGAACACGGATGTGCAAATATCTCTTCAAGATCCTAATTTGAATCATTTTGGATAGATACCAGAAGGGGGATTTTGATGGATCGATCATATGGTAATTCTATTTTTCATTTTTTGAGGAACTTCCATACTGTTTTTCCATAGTGGCTGCATCATTTTACATTCCCACCAAAAGTGCATCTGGGTTCTAATTTCTATATTCATCAACATTTGTTTTCTTCTGTTTGTGATTATCCTAATGGGTGTGAGGTAATATCTCATTGTGGTTTTGATTTTCATTTCTCTAATGATTACTGATGTTGAAAATCTTTTCATATGCTTTTGGCCATTTGTATATCTTCTTTGGAGACTTGTTCAAGTCTTTTGCCCATTTCTGAATTTGGTCATTTTTTTGGTTTTTGAGTTGCAGGAGTTCCTTACATATTAAACCCTTATCAAATACATGATTTGCAAACATCTACCATTCTGTAGGTTGTTTTTTCACTTAGGTGTTTGTTTTCTTTGATGCACAGAGTTAAGTTTGATATCGTCCTGTTTGTCTGTTTTCACTTTTGTTGCCTGTGCTTTTGGTGTCACACCCAAAAAATCATTGCCAAATCCAATACCTGAAGCTTTATCCCTGTTTTCTTGTTTGAGTCTTATAGTTTCAGGTCTTCTGTTTAGGTCTTTAATCCATTTTGAGTTGATTTTTGTATATGGTGTAAGGTTACTGTCCATCCTCATTCTTTTGCATGTGGATATCCAGTTTTCCCAAGACCATTTGTTCAAGAGATTGCCTTTTCCCCATTGTGTGATCTTGGCAGTCTTGTCAAAAATCATTTGACCATGTACATGAGGGTTTATTTCTGGGCTTCCTATTCTTTTCCATTGGTATATATGTCTGTCTTTATGCCAGTATCACACTGTCTTGATTACTGTTGCTTTGTAGTATGTTTTGAAACCAGGAAATGTGAGGCTACCAACTTAGTTCTTTTTAAAGATTGTTTTGGCTATTCATGGTTAGTTGAGCTTCCATATCAATTTTAGGATATTTTGGTTTCTATTTCTGCAAAAAATGCCATTAGGGTTTTGATAGGGATTGGTCATTGTTAGTGTGTAGAAATGCAACTGGTTTTTGTGTGATTTTATATCCTTCAATTTTGCTGAAATCATTTTAGTTTTAACTTTTTTTTTTTTGGTGGAATCTTTAAGCTTTTCTACATATAAGATCATATAGAAATAGAGATAATTTTACTTCTTCCTTTCCAATTTGGATGGATGCCTTTTATTTATTTTACTTGTCTTATTGACTGATTGTCATGTGACTGCTCGGAATGTGTCCCCCTTATCAAATGCTTGTCGGTTTAATGGTGACACCTCCTGTGTGGGATCTGGTTACCTGTGAAGTTGTGAACAACCTGGAAACTAGGTAGATCAGTGTCTCTAGTCTACCAAGTTTTCCAGTCCTACTGGGTTTCCAGTACTCTCTTGAGTAGAAGTGGCAAGAGTGGACATCCTTGCCTTTTTCATGATCTTAGAGGAAAAGCTTTTAGTCTTTCACTATTGAGAGTGACAGTAGCTATGGGCTTATCATGTATGTCCTTCATTATGTTGAGATAGTTTCCTTCTATTCCTAGCTTGAGACTTTTTATCATGAAAGGTTATTGAATTTTGTCAAATTATTTTTTTCTGCTTCAGTTGAGATGATCATATGGTGTTTGTCCTTCATACTATTAATGTGGTATATTACATTGAGTTTTATATTTTGAACTATCCTTGCTTTCCAGGTATAAATCCAACTTTGTCATGGTGTACAATCCTTTTAATGTGCTGTTGAATTCACTTAGCTGGTATTTTGTTGATGATTTTTGCATCAGTATTTATCAGGAATGTTAGTCTGTAGTTTTCTTGTAGAGTTCTTGTCTGGCTTTGATATCAGGGTGTAGGGCTTGCCTCAGAATGAGTTTGGAAGTGTTCTCTCTTCAATTCTTTGAAAGTGTTTGAGGACCACTGGTGTTAATTCTAATTTAAATATTTGTTATGATTCTCTAGAGAAGTCACCTGGTCCTGGGCATTTCTTTGTTGGGAGGTTTTTGAATATCGCTTTAATCCCCTTACTAGCTATAGGTTTGTTTAGAGTTTTCTGTTTTATATGTTTCAGTCATGGTAAGTTGTGTGTTTCTGGAAATATATCCATTTTTTCTAGGTTATCCAATTTGTTGGCATATAATTGTTCATAGTATTCCCTTATAATCCTTTTTATTTCTGTGACATCAGTTGTAGTGTCCCCTCTTTCATTTCTGATTTTAGTTATTTGTGTTTTCCTTCTTCTTTCCTTAATCTAACTAAGGGTTTGTCAGTTTTGTTGATCATTTAAAAAAGTCAACTCGTAGTTTTTTTTCTATTGGTTTCTATTTCATTTATCTCTGTTCTAATCTTTATTTCCTTCCTTCTACTAACTTTTGGTTAATTTGTTCTTCTTTTCCTTGAGGTGTAGCTAAGTTGTTGATTTTGAGATCTTTCTTCTTTTTTAATGTGTTTATCACTATAAATTTCCCTGTTAGTATTGCTTTTACAGCATCCCATAAATTTTGATATGTTGTGTTTTCATTTTCATTTGTCTTCAGATATTTTTTGATATCCCTTGTGATTTTTATCTTTGAGCCCCAAGTACATATTTTACTTTAAAGTTATATGGAAATATAAAATGATTTTGGGGTTTCGTTATCAGGGTAATACAAATATGGGAAATAGCAGCTCTTGTTAAAACAGTCATAACCTAGATTACACACACACACACACACACACACACACACACACACACACACACGAAAGTCTGACAATTAAATTTGCGAACTTGTTGCAACAGTTGCTAATCTTTTTTGATATCAGAGGGATTATTCATTATGAATTTGTACCAATTGGACAAACAGTTAACCAAGTTTACTATTTGGAAGTGCTGAAAAGGCCGTGTGAAACAGTTAGATGACCTGAACTTTTCGCCAACAATTCATGGCTCTTGCATCACGACAATGCACCAGCTCTCACGGCATTGTCTGTGAGGGAGTTTTTAGCCAGTAAACGAATAATTGTGCTGGAACAACCTCCCTACTCATCTGATCTGACCCCCAGTGACTTCTTTCCTTACCCGAAGATAAAGGAAATATTGAAAGGAAGACATTTTGATGATATTCAGGACATCAAGGTTAATACAACAGCTCTGATGGCCGTTCCATAAAAAGAGCTGCAAAATTGCTTTGAAAGGTGGACTAGGCACTGGCGTCAGTGCATAGCTTCCCAAGGGGAGTACTTTGAAGGTGACCATAGTGATATTCAGCAATGAGATATGTAGCACTTTTTGTAGGATGAGTTAATGAACTTAATTGTCAGACCTCGTATTTCTTATTTCTAGGCTGCTTCTATTTGTATGTGCTTAAAAAAAAAATTTCAATAGACAAGTAGTGACCACCCACTGAGCATAAACCACTACACTCAGCACTGAAGATTCAAAACATCATCTCCCCTGAGTTTGATTCTTATAGGAAGGATGAGATTAGGTTGATGGTAACTCAATAACTTAAAGAGAAGAAAGAAACTTGGCAGAGAAAACCAGCATTTAGGAGCAGTGCCATCTTTATCCTTTGCCCATTGCTATCTGAGTTATTTAACATTTACTGTTTCTTAAAAAATTGTTTTTTCACTAGGTACAACACCATCACTGGGCGATGGCTGACCAGGTTCCGAGCTGTGTGGGACCCTAAACAAGAAGACTGTATCATAATTGGCAGCATGGCCCATCCACGACAGGTGGAAATCTTCCACGAGACAGGAAAGCGGGTGCATTCTTTTTTTAATGGAGAATACCTTGTCTCTGTGTGTTCCATCAATGCTATGCACCCAACTCGGTATATTTTGGCTGGTGGTAATTCCAGTGGGAAGATACATGTTTTTATGAATTAAGAGAGTTGCTGGATTTTTGGTTTAGCAACATCAATTTGTTAAATTAATTAGTGTCTCTGTCACAAATATAAATTGGTTTATTAATAAGAACTATGAGCAGAATGTACTTTCAGTAAAGAAGGCTTGGAGGCTGTTTCTAAAGGATGGGGAGGGAATCTGCGGGGAGACTGATATGCCTTCAGCACTTTAATCAGATAACATGTTGAGAAATTCTAACATTATACATTTTTTTTTTTAAAGATTTTATTGGGGAATTGGGGGAGAGGAACAGCGTTGGGGAATTCGGGAAGGGGAACACACAAGTTGCTGTCCTTTTGTTCTTCAGTCTAGTTGTGGAGGACGTCGCTTCACTGGCCCATGTTGGTATTATCATTGTGCTCTTCAGCTCGGGCTGAACTCGAACCGCTGTTGCTCAGAGCTCAAACTCTTGAGCGAGCTCTTAACCAACTGAGCCACTCGGCCGGCCCTCCAAGCCAATTCTTAACCAATGCGCCACTCGGCTGGCCCCTAACATTATAAATTTTAAAGCTTTGATCAGTATTAAAAGTTTTTGTGGTCTAATGATAAGGTTTTAAAAAATTTATTGGGGTAACACTGGTTAATAATGTTATATAAGTTTCAGATGTACACCTTGATGCTACCACATCTGTATACTCTTGTGTGCCCACCACCCAAGGTCTGGTCTTCTTTTGTCATTTTATATGAGTATTTGACCCTCTTTACCCTTTTCATCATCTCCCAACCCCTTTTTTCTGGTAACCACCATTCTGTTGTCTGTATCTGTGAGTTTTTGTTTTGTTTTGTTTATTTGTTGCTTTTGGTTTTATATCCCACATATGAGTGAAATCATATGGTTCTTGTCCTTTTCCATCTGACTTATTTCACTTAGCATGATATTGTCCAGATGCATCCATGTTGTCATAAATAACAATATTTCATCTTTTTTCTGTTTGGATCTATTCATTGCTGTCAATGGGGTATTCAGGTACCCTACTATAATTGTTTTTTTGTTAGTTTTTTTCTTTTAGGTTTGTTAGTAATTGCTTTATATATTTTGGTGCTTTCAGGTTGGGTCCATATATATTGGTAAGTTTTATGTCTTCTTGATGAGTTGTCCTCTTTATTGTTATAAAATGTCCATTTTTGTCTCTTATTTTTTTTATCTTGAGATCTATTTTATTCTGATATAAGTACTGTACCCCTGCTTTTCCCTTGATGCCATTTGCTTGAAGTATCATCTTCTACCCCATTCACTTTAGAGCCTGTTTGTCTTTGTAGCTGAGATGGTTCTTGTGTAGGCCACATATAGTTGAGTCTTGTTTTTTAGCTACTCTGCCTTTTCATTAGTGAGTTTGTCCATTTATATTTAGGGTGATTACTGATGTATGAGGACTTACTACAACCATTTTATCTTTTGTTTTTTGGTTGCTCTTATCTCCATTGTTTCTTTCCCCTTGTGATTTTGTCTGCTATGTTTGGATGTTTTCTATGATTTTTGTTTCTTCTTTATGTTTTGTGTGTCAGCTCTGGAGTTTTGTTTTGTGGTTACTATTAGGTTTGTAAAATGTCTCATACATAAAATAGCCCTTTTTCTTCTGATTGCCTCTTTTAGTCATTTACCCATACCCATTAGTCCTTTTCCTCTTCTCCTTTTATGATTTTGTCACAAATCATCCCTTTTTTTTGTTGTGTATTTGCAGTATTGTTATTTGCAGTACTGTTACTTTTTTAATGCCCAGCTTTTTTTCTCCTTTAACCTTTGTTATAGTTAAGTGTTTAATATCCTATTCTGAAGTAGATTTACTATTTCCTGCTTGTCTGTTAGTTATCTTACTGAAAGTTTTGTATGCTTTTGTCTTTTTGTTTTTGGTGGAGAAGCTCCTTTAAATAATTCTTGTAATGCAAGTATTGTGGTAAATTCTCTCAGTTCTTGTTTGTCTGCGAAAGTCTTTATTTCTCCTTTATATCTAAAGGATAACTTTGCTGGATATGTGATCTTTGGTTGATGGTTCTTCTGTTTCAATATTTTGATAAATTTCCTTCCACTCTTTCCTGTCTTGTAATGTTTCTACTGAGAAATCTGATTATAATCTAATGGGCTTTCCTTTGTAGGTTAGTCTTTTTTTACCCTGGCTCCCATGAGAATTCTTTCTCATTGATTTGTGACAGTTTGAATAAAATGTGTCTTGGAGAAAGTCTTTTTGTGTTGCTATAATTAGGTGTTCTGGTAGCTTCTTCTATTCTAAAATCCAGTTTTTTCCTTAAGTTTGGGAAGTTCTCATCAATTATTTATTTGAATAGGCTCTCTGTTCCCTTTTCCCTCTCTTCTCTTTCTGTTATACCTGTTATGATTATGTTGCTCTTTCTAATGTTGTCATACAGTTCTTTCTTTTCTTTTTTTTTTTTTTTTAAGTATTATAGTTCATTTTTTTTATTTTTGTTTGTGTAGAATGCTCCAATTTTTATGTTTTTTTTTTTTTTTTGAGATTTTTATTGGGGAATTGGGGGAACTCACTGCAGCAGTGGCTGCAGCCCATGCCATCGCCGGCGACCCACAGCAGCCCAGCTCCAGGTTGAGCTGTCATTCAGCACCCTAGCTGTAGAGGGCAGTGTCACTGGCCCTCATATGCGGGATCTGAACCGGGGCCCTCTGGCATCCTAAGCCAGCTCTCAACCAACGTGCCACTCGGCCGGCCCTTTCTTTTCTTTTTTTAACTCTCTTCTCCCTCCTGGATAATTTCTAGGTTTCTATCTTCGAGCTCTCTAATTCTCTCTTCTATCTAGTCTGCTTTATTTCCAGTGCTCTCTAGTGCATTCCTCATCATCTTTATTGAATTCTTCAGCTCCAGAATTTCTTTTGGGTTCTTTTTCATAGTTTCAGTCTCTGGTAAAGTGTTCCTTTCATCAGTTTTATTTCTGAGCTGATTGAACTGCCTTTTTGAGTTTTCTTGTATAATGTTGAGTTTCTTCATAACTACAATCTTGAATTCTCTGTCGTTTAAATCACCATCTTCCATGACTTTGAATTTGGTTTTTGGAGACTTTCCATTTTCTTTCTGTGCTCCCAGCTTACCTTGTTTTTTTCATGGTATATGATGGTTTGTTTCTCTGCACATTTGAGATAGTAAATTATTTTTTTGTTTAATACTGTTTTGCTTTCAACAATTCAGCAGGTTGATAGGTAGGGTACTTTCTGTTTTCTATGCTGCTTGGGGTATCTCAGCTTGCTTTACTGTTTCTGCGGTGGAGTGTGGGGCAGGGAGGACGAGTCTGCGATCTTGTGGCTCCGCCTCCCTTCTGGTAATGGCTGTCAGAGCTGCTGTGTTGTTTAAAGCTTCCCTGCTTTCTTTACTGAGTTCTGCTGGAGAGTGTGGGACAGGGAGGGCAAGTTCGTGGTCTTGTGGCTCTGCCCCTGTCAGCAAAGGCTGTTGATGCTGCCATGATTCTTTTGAAGCTTCCCAGCCACCTCTACCCAGCTGTGCTGTGATGGGGAGGGGAAAGGAAGATGCCTTTTTCTGGAAACTGCTACTGCCCCTTGGTGCTCCAGGCTTTAGTGTGAGGGCTTCAGCCCGACTCCTCTGCTGCAGCGCTTGCTGGTGCCACAGTGGGCGTCAAACTGTGTCTGTGGGCCGTCCCTGCCCTTCCTCTGGACCTGCTCCCCTATTGTCCCAGTATGCCCACCTTCAGATGTCCTGATGTGTGGACCCGTCAGGCATGTTTGTGTCTTAAGCAGGTGATCCTTTGTTGTTACAGTTGTCCAGCTTGTTATAAATTTAAGGTGGGAAGCAATGGAGTCTTCTCACTCTGCCATGATGCTGACTTCCGATGCGGTTTTGATTCTAGGGTGACGTGTGTTTGTGGTTTATAGTTTGGACTGGATATTTATTTCTAGACTCACACATTGCAAGGGGTCAGTGATCTTGAAACTTTTAATTTTTTAAACTAAGAGTACTTTTTTCCCTGCCTGTAAATTAAATCTTTCAGGAAATCCCAAACTAATTGCCGAGAGGCTTTGCTTCACTTGGGCACGACCTGGATCAGTGTGTGGGGACCCTTTCCCTTTTGCTGCCTCCAGATGGCTCCTGAGACACAACCAAGGGATCCCAGGGCTCCCAGGCACCCGGTTTGGATCTGGCTGATCCCTGTAATCCAGTGTGAGATTGCCCTTAGCCCACTGTTTTCCTGACCATAGGTTGTAGCTATTCACATGAAATCAATTTAGTGGCCTCAATCTGCATTTAAAAAAATGAAAAGGAAAGAAATAGTAAAGAATAGAAAACATAATTAGAATAAGTATTGTTTTGTGAAACTTAGTTACCTATGTATACATATTTGTATGTATATATGCATATGTATAGGAGTATTTTGATATAAAATGTATTTATTACTGTGGTACTGTGGGTCACGGTTAAAGAAAACTCCTCCTACCTTAGAGTCCCAGACAGCCTTATCTGCCCCTCTCTTTAAATTTTCCATTGGATTCAATAGCCTGTTAAGTGAATACCTTCATTCCTATTCATATTTTGGGGAAATGTTATGAAACACCACTTTTTCATTTCTACATAAAAATACATATTTCCAGAAGTTACGGCAATTTGAATGTCTTGTTGAAAGGGGAGGTGCTAAGTCAGTCACTAATGTTACCGTGTGACATTACCTATCCAACTTTTTTCATTGTTCTTCCTTGCCAAAATACTACTGAAAGGCTACTGTAAATAGCTTCAGCAATGTTTGAATTTGTAAGAGAAAATATTATCTTCTCATAATTGTATATCACATAAAGTGACATGTTTAATTTCCTTAAAGAACAATTTTTTCCTAAATAGTTTCCTTCTCTGTGTTTTAGAATCTAAGTGTTTTGAGGCTTACTTTATTGATAGGTTGTGGGTGTTTATAAGGATAGGAGCTCTCTATTTTTTTGGTGATTTGAGTATAGAAATTGATAAGTGAGGTGTAAATATTAATTTATGAAGTGGAAAGTAATGCTGAGGTCAAGTTATATTTAAACTGTCCTGGAAATAGTAAACAAAGGCTTTATGCTCTCTTTCCCTTTTCTGCAGGTTCTGGAGTGGCTTGTTCTATGGGAATTGTTCTTTTTTTTAAAGACTTTGAAAACTCAATCAAATTAGTACCATCGTTGAAGCTTTGGTGGTAATCGCCTGGCTTCTGCAATAAATGTTAGCAAATTCTTGATGTTTCTCACTTTTGTGGTTTTGCTATTTGCTTTTGCTATTGTAGCTTCATAAACTGTATTATTTATATCCAAATCCACTTAATTGAGTTCTGTCTTCTTGAGGCAATGCAGGAAGGGAGGAAGGAGAGTGAGTGGGGACTTGTTTTTCTCTGTGATAAATTGTGTAATGGAGTAATTGTTTAACTGGAGAAAGCACATAAAGGAAAAGTGTCTCCCTTAGGACATCCTTAAATGGTAATCTTTTGTGGAAGGTACTTCTCCCAGAGGCTCCCTTAAAGCTTTGTGGCTTTTGTAACTATGCATGTATTATGACTGATTGCTCTCTTTCCCTTCAGGATAAACCTTTTTTATATATTGGCCTTTATAATCTCTCTTAAGTGTGTAAGCTCTGAACTCCACTTGAGTTGAGATAATTGTTTTTTTTGTTTGTTTTTTGACTTTAAGGAGAAAGGAGATGAATCTCATTTTGGGTGGACAGAAACTTGGTCAGGCTGGGAGAGACTGGAAATGATTAGGAATTGATAGAATCTGAGTTGCTTAAAGGCTGTTCTCCAGGAAAGCAGGGAGCTTTAGGGCTGTGGATACAAAGATTTAAATCTTTTCAGCCACCATACAGTACATGGGAAGGGGTGGAGGGCGGGCAGACACATGTGCTTTTTCTATCAAACTCGAGAGCAAGAAATATATGCACTCTAACTTCGGATTCCAAAAACTTAGGTGTCCTGTTAGGCTGTCCCTTCTGACTTAGTACTTTTTTTTTTGACAAAGAATACTTTTAAAAAACATTTTTTCCTGTTTAGTAGGGTATTGATAGCCAGTAACAGTTTGAGTTCCAGGACAGCATAGACCAATATTCTGGTTCATTTGGATGTAAATGTTTGGATTTCCAAATGAAAAGGTGGAATTTTGTGAGGAAGATAACATTTAGTAGTTACATGGAGTGAGGAGTGAAACATTTTATCTTTTCCTAAAATGGAAGCTGTGTAAGAGGGAATGCTTTAAAAGTATCTTTTGCCAGTGTTACTCCATCAGCAAGTGGTAAGGGTGTGTGGAGGAAGCCTGCTCATGAGCTAAAAGCAGAAGTGTGTTCAGGTGCATAGGGCCTTGGTTATGGTTGAGGAGCCCTAAGCAGAGGGAGTGGGTGCCCGAGTCCTGAAAGGGTGTGTGCAGAGCCGAGTCCTTGTTAGGTATCCAGAGAAGGGTGGCTGCTGTAAGCCTGTAGGATCATGGGAAACCACTCACAGCCAGCGGTGGCTCTGCTTTTTACTCTTCAGGTCACTTGAAACAAAGACTTTTGTCATTTAAAAAAAAACCTCCATTGGAAACAGGGCACTAGGTATCGTTTTATAGGCAATGGGAACCTGAAAATTTGGAGGTGAGTGACGTAACTGCAGTGTTTCAGGGAGATGATCTGGCAGCAGAATGGAGGATTGGAAGGCAGGTAGGATTGAAAACAGGAAGATTAATAAGCTAGCACAGTGGAGTCTAGTGTCATCTTTTATCCTCATGGAATTTAAAAGATGAATTTACCAGTTCTGTAGCCACAGAGTGATGGTTACGTAATCAGGTGAAATGTCACAGGAATGTATTCTGTAAGTTGTAAGTACGAGGCTTGTTATTATAGTGGTGATACCATTCTATTCCCTTCATAGGGAGGGTCTTCTGTTCTTCCTCTTAAGCCAGGCTGCTCTAGAAGCTATAATAGATCATCAGGGGTCTACTTTGGGCTCCAAGACTAACCTATGTAACCTTGAGAAAAATCACTTTTTGTTTTTCCTCCTCAGAAAAAAAGAGGTACAATTCTTCTTTAAAATAATTTTACACTTATAACTTCTAAGTTCCTAATAGTATTTATTTTGGGGGGGAGGGACAATAGGTGGATCTAAGCAAAATGATTTGATTCCAATTGCGAATAGCTTTCAGCTGTGTAAATCCCACTGGTATCCTTTTGTCCTGGTAACTATGCATTGGTAACTTTGAGGAGAAAGTGAGACAGGCTGTAAGTTAAAAAAGAGTCTACTCTTCTGTGATATTTAAATATTTATTTAAGTTTAAAAATAATTTTCATGGCACCAATGATTTTATGCTAACTACATACTGGATATGTAGAAAAAAGTACATTGCTTTGAAGGAAAATGTAACTTATAATTTTTGGCACACGAAAGGTTAACAACTATATATTGTTTAATGAAACTAAGAAATTCACATTTGCAGGTAGTTTACCCTCTACTGCTTAAAGATGCAGTACACTATTCTTTAGTAAGAGTTTTATTTCCTCTGATAGATGAAGCTATGGAAACCACTGCTTTTTCTACATTGAGACCAAACTAATTTAGAGAGAAAATGTACAGTAGAACACAGTAAAACCAGGTTAAAAACTTGAACAATTTTTAATGGTGGGGAAATACCAAAAAAGACCAGTCAGCAACAAAGGAGGTTTGTTATTCAAACACTATTTGAAAAGCAAATTGAAGGAAACTTTCTATTTTCTGGGATAAGCCCTGGAAAAAAATAACCTGAAAGCTTCTACTGAGAAAAATTCAGCTGTTGGAAGTGGTATGGACTGTTGTACTGTTAGAACGCTAGACACAAGTAACGTACCAGGAAATGGAATACTGCATCTTTCTTTAATGTGAATATGAAAGGTCAGAGTTGAGGCTATCACTCACTGCATAGAAACACCATATTCTACAGACTGAGGTAGGAACACTACACTAAAAGGTAATCTGCTATGTTGCATAAGACAGTAGCTATCCAGGTTAAAATCAGCCCCTTATCTCCTGACAGCCTTTTCATCTGAGTCTACTTTCCACTTCAGTCCTGTGCTAAATAAAGCCTTTCCTGTGTAGACGCAATGGCAGTGGACACTTGATTCTAAGTGGCCCCTAATCTTTACTAGGATCTCCCTCAGTTTGTCTTGTCACTTGGTAAATAGGTGTTTATAATTCTGCCTAAATTGTTGCTGGTATGGAAATGATCAGATAGGCCCTCTTCCATTCTTAGATTCTGGCCAACGTCTTCTCATTCCAGTACTTGGTCTTGCTCATCTTGGCATCAGACATCTCTTTGCTGGTTGGTTGGTTGAGCACCCTTTAAACAAGCAACCCCAGTGCCTCCAGTGGGAAGTGGTCCTGGATCTTTAATACACATCAGGAATTGGAGCACGGCTGACCCTCTTTCTGCTAACATCATAGTATTTGTTGTGTAGATCAGGGTTGGCAAATTATGGCCTGTGGGCCAACTTCAGCTCGCCGTCTCTTAAATTTTAGTGGAACACAGCCGTGCTCCTTCATTTATGTATTGGGTTGTCGGAAAAGTCATGATGCATTTTTGCAATGAAAAAAATAGAAAAAATACGTTATGGCTTTTCTGACAACCCAATATTACTTACGGCTGTTTTTGTGCTACGACAGCAGAGTTGAGTAGTTGCCACAGAATATGGCCCACAAAACCAAAATAAAAACAATATTTACTATCTGGCACTTGACAGAAGTTTGCAAACCCCTAGTCTAGTTGAAGGGGCATTTAAAATTATGCACCACCCCCACCAATGAAAAACCTCGTTTATCCCATATATAGACATGGTTCTGCCATTTCAGGGGACTAATTAGGGGAGAGCAAATCTAAAAGGGACTCATTCTGTTCTGCATTCGGGACTGCCCAACATCATAGGGTATCGGCAGCCACTTCATTGTGTAGGTTCCAGGAATTTGTCCACTGACGGTCCTTAACTAAGTCCTCAGGCCCCAGACCACTTAGAAATCTCTCCCTGAGATGAAAACGAGATTGTGTGTGTGTGAGTGGCTGTAAGAGCTGCCGAGCTTGGGCCTTGGCCCCCACACTCACCCTTCACATGCTGTGCTCTGCATGCATCCACCGCTTCCCTCAGCAAGGATGGCAAGTGCTTTCCTACAACTTGCAGAGGATGACCCTAGGGGGGGCAGTATTTCTACATCTAAATGTTGGTCTCTGCCACGTTCACCTTCTTTCTTGGTAGGCATCTCAGAACTATTTAAAGAGATTCTTTTCCTGGTCCCTTCCAAGGCTGTTTGTTGATCTTGGAATGCTACTTTCTGAAGTTTTTCATTCTCAGGATCAGTTTCTTTCTTGCATCGTTTAGTTCATCAGGCTCTATTTTCTTAATCCATAAAGTAAAAACAAAATATGAATCGATAAGAAAATAACATTTCATTGTTAAAATATAAATTGAAATAATCTTTTTTTTGCGGGGGGTGTACAAAATAAGTACTGCTTTCCGAATCAATCGTCTCTCAGGTACCTTAGCTCTGGTTTCTGTTAACTATATTTTGTCCAACATTTCTGACAGTCCTATTTCTGGTACCACTGAATGCATCTAATGCCTCAGGAGCACTATCAGAGTCTTGAGGTTCTTCAGAAAAAAAAAATCACAGAAGTCTAAGTTCGTTATACAAAATTCACGGTGATACCCACTAGGCTCTAGTCTAAGGGGACAGACTTACCCCACCCCTGCTGCTGCTGCTGCTGGAGCCGTGGTCCCTTCAGATGCCCACTCTGCTCAGATTTGGAAAAAAACAAAACAAAAGGAAAAGAAAATCCAACTCAGACCATCATAAGAAGCAACTTTCCATTTAATCATTCTACACGATGTTTACTTTTTAAAAAGCTCTGTCTAGCAAGAAAACTTAGTCCCCGTTGTCCAGACTCCTGGACTGCCCCGCTGAGGCTGGAGTGACGAGTGCTGGAACCCAGCGGGAAAGCTCCTGCAGAACACAGAAGACGACAGCTCTCTAGTCTTCAGCTAGTGTCCCATCTGCTAGGTGACACTACTGGGATCATCAGTAATAGTAAAATAAATTATTTTTATTTGATACTTTCAAAATAATACACATCTATGAAAAATCAAAATTCAAAACCGAAAGTTATCCTGCAAATTGGGAGGATGAGAAACAGAGTTGCCGAGCCTTTCTTGAGAGAACCTCTGAAGGAAAAGAGCTTTCCCAGTTTGTTTAGACAGGGCATGAGCCTATCCCCTTCTTCTTCTGGGAAACGACCCTCCTAGGCTGTGGACTTGGAGTCATGAGAGGAGGACTTGGTACATGTGCCGATGGTTCCGCGATGGGTCCCATTGCTGGGAATGGGTAGCCGGGCTCCTGGGTCCACCTGGCTAGTTATTGGGAGGAGTCATGCCTTCTCAGGTGTCTATGAGCAGGCTCACCACTGAGCGGATTTTGCAGGCAAACCATCGCCTGAGGGGACAAAAGTATTGATAGTGGAATTGTTCAAACTCGGGGGTCTGGCGGATATCGCGGAAAAAGGCAATGTCAAGGTCAGACTCGGTAAGGATGATCAGGAGGAGGAGCAAAACAAAGAGGAGTCCCATGGTCACAAGGAGCAAACGGAGGACACTTAAAACAAACTTATTCACCTGTTCCTCCTCTGGCCTGCCGTGCCCCTGACACAGGGCCCTCAGCTCTCCCCCGAGGGCCTCCACATCTGCAGCAGTGGGGGTGCTGGCCTCAGACTCCTTCTCCTCCTCGATGCTGCAGGTGGCCCCATTGATCTGCCGGGAAAGCAGCATCAGCTCCAAGCTGTGCTCAGCCACGGGGGTAGGCAGCACGCTGTCTGCAGGGCTGTAGGCCTCATCCGCAATCACAGCAACTCGCTCATTGCTGTCTGCCCGGCTGCTTCTCACGTGAGGCAGGAAGGTGTCCCCGTGGGAGGAGGAGCGCACTGGCGTGGAGTGGGCACTGTCCCGTAGGGACTCTAGGCCTGGAAAGGCAAAGGAAACGTGAGTAGGCTCTCTGTCCCGGTGCACACTGTTTCTTTTTGCTTATGGTTTTGATCACATTTATTCAAGATTCTGCCTTTCCTGCCTCTGGTGTCCTCGGCTTGGTTTTAGCCCCAATTGGAAAGAGAATCTGAATTGCAGATGATCCCTGATCTAGAGCTGGGGTCTCGGTTAAGGGTGCTCAAGTTCGCCTCGTGGGCTGAGGGCCTTGAGAGGCAGGAACAGGGAGGATAAGACTGTGTCTTGCCCCGTGGGCCTCACTGAATCCCGATTCTGGAGCTGGGTGTCCTAACAGCCCAGCGTGCAGCTCTTGGAGCTCATTAGGTCATCTTTTGGATTTCTGCCATTTGCTCTGGGTCTGTCTCTTCAGCCTCCCTGTTCTAGCCGTCCTGACCTTGTGGGATATGCAAACCCTATCTGCCCTTCCTAAGTGCTCTCTGATGGAGAAGGGGAGGAGCCTTGGCCAGCTCCCTCCCTTTTTACCTCAGAATGATCTGGGTCCAGGATAGGCCGACAGCTCCCCTATTTTAGACACTCCAGAGTGCAGAGTGGTCTTTGAGAAGATCTGGATGAGTCGGGGACATTCTCTTACTTTTGTTAGGACAAAAGGGGCTCTGGCCCCTAAAACTACCCATTATCTCTTCACCTTCTCAGGTGGAACATTTCTTCCTTTCCAGGGCTCAGGTTCTGGTAGGGAGAAACGGGCTGGTTGGTTACTCCCTCAACCAAACAGCAGCCACCCAGGCCAAGAAGATGTGGGCTCGGCGTCACTGAGTGTGGCCCACACCACAGTGCTCCCAAGGAAATGGCTTCTTGTTTCAGGTTCAACATCTGTATATTCCATTCCTGGCCATCTTGTGGGCCCGAGTGTCTCCCCTGCGTTTGTGGCCTCTGACAAGAGAAGCCAGTCCGCTTCTGCTGCTCTGAAATGGCCCCTGATGGCCCCAGGCCGAGTCAGACCCCAGCCTGCTGGAGCTGCCTGAACACAGGCACAGTCAGGGACTGTCCAGAGGAACGAAGCCTGGAATCTGGGTTATGAACAAGGGTGGGGGTGGGAGGCGATGGCAGCCCTGTTTCCCACCTGTACCCCCCACCCCCACCTCACCAGTAGTATATGTGTCTCAGCTCCTGCTTTCAGAAGCTCCTCATGGTCCTAGCTATATTTTGTCCGTATGCCAAAATCTTAAATTTGTATAATGTTTTAAACTTTTAAAGCACTTTCATTTTATCTTTCAACAGCTCCATGGAGTGGTGAGGGTGAGAGGCTACAGAACTTGCGGAAGTCATGTGGTTGGTTGTTGACAAAGGCAAGGAGAGAATGCAGGCTCTCTCTCCTTCACGGTGCTAATGACCGGGAAGTTGGATTCTGGGGAGGGCAACATGGACCAGGATGAATTAAGCCAGCCCTGCACCTTTCTTAGACTTAGTGCCCAAGAAACTGTTGTGTAATAATGTGAAATTAAGAGCCTGTCTCTTGTTCCAGAGCTCTTGATGCTCCTTTGGTCTCCCAGTTTTCCCTCCCTCATTCCTCCATGTGTGTGCAGCATGAGGAATATGTACCTAGGAGTGGGTAATGGGTCCCTGACGACAGAACCCTTCAGGCCCTCATTGTACACACTGCTGCCTCAGCTCCTTTCCCAACCACTCCTCTGGCCCCTTTTTCTGGAACGTCAGCACCTCTGTGCAGGGCACCTCACAACTTGCAAGGAGCTGTCCCCTCACAAGGACAGCTCTGACTGCCAGATCCTCCAAAGTACGACCAGCGTAGCTACCAGAAGCCACTTCAATGCAAGCTTAGCTTGGCCTACAAGTCAGCCCTGAGCTAGGGAAGGAGAGAGGCAACGGCTATGACACCAGAGAGAATAAATCCGAGGGACACCAGAAGCCATATTATACTGAACTGTTGGTGCTCTCGGTAAACAAGATAATGAATATGCATTTTTAATGGCCAGACAAAATTACTCAGTAAACGTTAGTCTTCTGTCCCCTCAACAGACCTCACCTGCAAGGTTATTCCTGTGTCAGGTTAGTCCTGTACAGAACTTCAGGTTTCACAAAAACCACCCCCCCGCCTCACCCCTTCACCAAACCTGTTATTCTGGGATGGATGGGGTGGGTGCTGTGGGTGGGATCTGGGCGAGTGGCACAGCAAAACGGGAGTGTCTTTTTTTACCTTGGAGGTGCTCCAGCTGGTGGCCTTGCCCGGAGGTGACTCCCGGTGGGCTGGGGGACACAGTGGTTAGCAGCCTACCCTGGAGCCGAGGCCCCATTCTCAGGATGCGCACACTCAGGGGCCGAAGGCAGTGATTAGTCACCCGGAGCTGAACACGGACTCTGGTATGAATCTTAACCAGACTCTTCCCCATGGTGGCTCAGGAAGGCAGATACTTCTTCAGTGGAAACCAGCCAGGCAGGGAGGAAGGTAGAGGGAAAGGACGGAAAACCAACTAGGGACCAAGGAATACTGCTGATCTCATGCTACGGCAGCCCCTCTGCAGTGCTTCCTGTGCTGGAGAGGTCACCTCCATGAGCCTCAGAGCAGGCTGAGCTGCAGGGAAGGAGCAGCTCTGGGAGGCCTACCTTATCAGGGCACTGGATTCAGTCAGAAGCACTTAGAGCCATAAAAAGTAATGCTTTCCCAGCCTGTGGCTGCTTCCCTGAGGCCCATGGAAGGGCCCTGGACCTCTCAGAGAGTGAGGGACAGAGGGCAGGGAACAGTCCCAGACGCTAGGGGGAGTCAGGGCTGTCCCGGAAAACCCAGGGTGTGGAGCCGCAAAGACTTGGGGCTGAATGGCTCTGAAGTGTGAGGAGGTGGCTAGGGCTGGAAATGGGCTGTGTCCCATCCTCTGCTGGGATGAACCTGGTGGCTTTAGCCACAGGATGGATGGGAAGGGGGGAGAAAGTTATGTTTCCTCAAAAAAGGAGAAAAAAATTCATTCCACTTTCCTGAGATGAACACCCCAAAAGAAGAGGGACAGCGAGAGCCATGCTCAGCTCTGCTTAGCCTGACGAGGGAAAACAAGGGTGGTGTGTCTGCTGGTGGTCAGACCTCGGTAGTTTACAAGGCACCCTCCCACATCCACACCCCACTCTACAGTGGGAGCAACAGGCTCGAAGAGGCAAGCAACCTGCCCCAGCAGGTACCTGGCAGAGCTCGGATTTGAACCTCATCTTTGACTTCCTGACCAGGGCTCTTTGCACTGTGCTTGCTGCCTGTCCAGTACCAGCTTTAATCTTTAAAGTACTTCTGCTCACACCAGCTTCCTCACAACCGGTGGTGAGGAAGATGTGTTTTTAATAAATGGTCAACAAAGGTACTCAAATAATTAAGGCACTTGATAGTGGTTGCCCAGTCAGGGTTCTCAACCCCTAGAAAACCATACTCAGGTAATGCAGAGCCAGTGACACACACAACCCTAAACACAAACTGGAGATCCTTCCTAACCTGAGTGGTTCTTCGTCTTCATTAACAAGCAGCATTCCCTCCCCAGCCTCCAAGACAGATAGGTGGGAAATAATCCTGCTGCTGTTTCCTGCTGCTTGAGATCTGGGGTTCTACGAACCATCATCATCAGGAATTGAAAACCCTCAGCTTTACACCTGTGTCCAGCCTGCAGGGCAAACTGGGTCAGTGACCACAGTATTAAGTGCCCAGAGACAGAGGCATCGGCCTCAGGCTATTGGGGTTTCTACTTCAGTGACGATACACAGACTTGGTCTCTCTTCCCACCTTACCTACTCCAAAGGGAGGGAAAGATAGGGAGAGATGGCGCATACTGGATTCCCTGAGACAATGTTAGAATTCAAGGTAGCAAGAGGACAGATTTTTATCACTGAAGCAAAGGCAGCTACTGGAGTGCTTCAGGACCAAGAGTTTTCGTTTCTTGGTTGATTGCCTCAGCCACCCTGATAGTATTTAAGCTGTGGAGATTGGTCAGATCTGGAAAACAAGTGAAAAGCCTCTTGATGGAAAACCATTTCAGAACTGCATGGAATCTGGTAGACAACATATACACTGATTCTCAAAGGTCTACCCCCAATACTCAGATCTGCAGCCCCCTCCTGGACTGCAGCTTAGCAGGGCTGGATGGATCCCCCTTCACCTGATACCCAGCCGGGGTTCCATCGACCGGGAAAACCTCCACACTATTGGAGAAACCTGCTGTTGTGTCTAATGCAAATTCACTTTTCAAGGTCCCTGAGTGGAAATGGTCTAAGTCACAGCTCGGAAGGACCTGGTGTCCTCTCCAGAGCTCATGCTTACCTTCCATGATGGAGATGTGAACCGCTCTTCTCCGGGTCCTGGGGACGCTGCTCAGCCTTGGGCCATGGGTTATGGAGGGACAGCTGCGGCTGGGAACCATCCCAGCTCTGAGGTTGAAGAAAACACTTAACTCAGTACACAGGTGTGGTCAGAGTTGAGTGGCTACTAGAATTGCCTGGCTATTTTGGCTTTTTTTGGTTTTATTTAATCTTTAATACCTGTTTTGTGCCTTTAGTCCCTGGATTCCAGTCAGAGACACTGCTTCAAACTCACCCACCTCCCTGCATCCCAGACCCACCTGCACCTTTCTTTAGTGTGGCGATGGTGCCAGTGGTCTCTGGGCAGATGGTCAGGGCGTGGTGGCCCAGGATATGCCATGCTCCTGAAAATGTGCCTGAAGTTGGATACGGCAGCCTCCCCTGACTTCTGACAGAGGCGGCTGGTGGCAGGGGGCTCTGTGTGAAGGGGCAGGTAGTAATGCTCCTGTTCCCAGAGGTCAGGCTGGTTGGCGAACCCTAGCCCTTTTGGCCAATCATATTCTTTCTGGGTCTTATCAGGTTCTAGGAGATGGGCTTCTGGAAATGCATTATGTACAGTTACACATAAAGCACGGATCTTGAAACTATTGTAGATCTATTGTGACAGGGTTATGGGGCTATCCCTGGCTTCCTGAATTGATTCTACAACCAACGGAATCTTGCTGTTTGGACATGTCCTCCACGGTCTGTGACCAATTTCAGGACTTGGGAGAACAGCAGAGAATGACCCAGGAAGGTGGCTCCTGGGTCTGATGGACTATCTGCATTTGCCCACCCTGACCTCATTCTCCACCCAGGCTCAGGGAAACCAAGGTCAGACGGTTCCCACGCCTTTATCTGAGATGGGCCTCCTCACCCTCCTGCCCTGTTCTCCTTTCCCTTTTGGGAGCCCTTGTGGCCAGAATCTTTACATTACTCAAACTGCTTGATATTTTGAGATTCTGGGACCTGGGCTGGAACTGGGTTTGGGGGAAGCCCCTGGCAGCCTACCTGTGAATTTCCGGAGGCTCCCGTTTGATCTTGGCACTTGACTCCATTACTTCCTTTGCAACTCGGCCACTGTAAGTAGTACAATAAAACAAGCAGCAAGAAATGAGACAGTGTTCCAGGACTGGGCTCCTCTCCAAGGTCTAGGATTACTTTGGCAGGTGACTTCCCAAAGAGGGCAATGGCCTCTCTGGCCTTCCCTTTCCTAATGTTGAGGCCACTGGGAAAGGCTGGCTTGCTGGGTTAAAGACTTCTAAGATATCTGATAGCTGATCTTAGAGAGTTCTCTACCTCTGGAGTCTTTGGGATTTTCCATTCTCATTTAGGAATGATTCCTCATTGCCCAGCATGTTCCAAAAATATTGCAAAAAAAATCTTTAGACTGACACAAAAAGAATTACAGTTACAGTTCTCATTTTGCTGCTGTTGTAAGGGCAGGAGGAGAAGGTACACATTTTAAACCCTACAGACCAACAGCTGCAGGGAAGGAAAGAACGTGATGGAAACCTCAGGGTTTTCTGGGGGTTCCCAGTTTCTTCGTTCTCAAGGGTAAGGCCCACTGAGCCACTGTTCTGGAGAGAAGAGTCTGAAAATAGGTCCATAACGGTTACTTACTGTCACTATTTACCTGTATCGGAACCGGCTCCCTTTAAAGAATAAGTTGCTGCTGGACACTGTGCGGACTTGGCTTGATTTCTCCAGCCTGCAGCAAGGCAAAGGGCAGTGTGACACATAGCCTGCGACAGCCTCACAGGTGAAGGCGGAGTGTTCCCAGCTCCTAGCAAAAGCTACCTGAGGAGACCCTTTGGGAAAAGGCCCTTTACAGCCCCATTTATCTGAGTCTCCTTTAGGACCCAAGGGCTGTGCTCACAGCCTCAGTGCCAGGGACAGTCCTATGGAAACCCACGTTCATGTCAGGAGAGTGAGTTCTTCCCAAGAGTGCTCCATGGGGCTCACCGGGGAGACTGAGAGAACACAAGTCAGGGATGATGGTCTGGGGGAATGACAGAGGGCCATCCACTGAGTCAGCCAGGCCTCTTGTTAGCAGTATGACCTTGGGCCAATTTCATTTCCTCTCTTAGCTCAGTCTTCTTATCTATAAAAGGATGGAGCTGGGACTACTTGACCTCAGGAGTCCTTTCTAGGCTAGCATTTGATGATTTGTGTCCATGTCTGGGTAATTGTGGGTGGGGAAGAGAGTCGGGGCTGCCCTTCCTGTTCATCTTGGAGAGTCCTAACATGAAGATTATATCAATAAGACTCTGAGAAGTCCTGAAATGAAGAAGCTAGCTTAATGTTAATGAAAGTTCCATCATTTATTTGGTACCATTCTCACTTCCTCAGAATGACTCTTAACATCACTTTCAAGGCTGTAGATAGCTGATGAGGCTGGAAAGCCATGGGCGCTGTAAAATATCCTGTTGGGCGACCTCTCTGATCTCCCTTAGGAAAGGAAGCTTGGGCAGAGCTGCCCAGAGTGAAGTCTCCCAAGACCCACTCAGCCTGCAACATGCCCTGGGTGCCTGTAGAGCTAATCCAGCCAGGAACTGATCTAGGTCTGAAGCTTTTGTTGTGAGCAGGCCATGAATATGGAGGGAGTTGTCCCCACAATCCATGAAGAGCTAAACCCGAGATTCACCATCCCCTCCTGTCTCAGGGCTCTGTAGGGCTCAGCCTACTTGCCCTCTTTGAGTGACCCGGCTCCCTTCAAAGCACTGGGCCAAAGGCAGGGCCAGGGATCTGCACGAGAGATGCTCAGAGGCTAAATTGGCTGCTGCTAGGTACGTGTAACTGGGGATCTGACCCAGGCCAGAGACTTAACAATTAGGACATTAAGTAGTTCATGGAAAACGGAAAGACTAAAAAACTGAGTTTGGTCACAAGTTCAGAAACACAGTTCTGTTCCCATGACACAGAAAAATAAAGGCCTCCAGAAATGGTGCTGAAATGTCTGTCTTTCCCTGGACAGCTAAGGACTGAACAAGAGGGAAATGGCACCATGCAAAAGTCTTTTCCTAGTGTGTTCTCTTTCACGAGAAGATGAAGACCACTCAGGTTAGAATTCAGGCTGTCCATTCTGTCCATCCCTGATTCTGTATCAAATGCATAGAAATTACTAAGCAATTCAGAGAGCTTGCTCAAGAAACAGCCTCTGGGGCTGGGACCCTGGTAATGGAGGTCTGCTGGCCAGCATCCCATAGCAGCCAGCAGGTTGCAGTCTGTTCATGGGGGAGGAAGATGGTGTCCCCCACTCCTCAGTCCAGAGCAGCTCTGCTCTCTCCAGGTTCCTTCAGGTTGCTGCAGGGAGAACTATGGCTGACAAGGGGCAGAATATACCACACACTCTTGTCTTATGTTGTCCTGATTAGATACAGGACAACAATAAGATACAGCTCATTAAAGCATAAGTCATTGTATTCTATTTTTAAAACAAGACCAAGGGTTTTAGTGAAACATGCTTTACCTGACATCACCCTAGTTTCTCGATGGGCTATTTTTTTGCTCCCTAATGCTTTTATGATCACTTTCTCAAGCAAAGAAAACCGAGCACACAAAAGACTCGTATACTTGACAAAACCCTTTGGTAAGCAAACTTGCTGTCTTTGGTGCAAAGCTGGCTTCTCAGTACCAGACAAGTCCTTGCTGCCCTCCAGCTACGCTATCCCAGGCTCCTGAGCACTTGGCCTGTCACTAGCAACACCTCTGGCTGTGACACTGCAGGAAGAGCTGGAGTCAATCCCAGCCTAGGACCAGGTCACCCACGGGGGAATGGGCCCCAGAATCTCTCTAAGGCTTAGGGAACAGGTCTGGGCTGCGCCTGCTCCTTCATGGAGCTGTTATGTTCTGGGTCTCCCGGGGCTCTGAATGGTCAGATGCCCATGGGCTTTTTCTGGCCCAAGCCTTACCCTGAAAAGACCCAGAACTGCTTTGCCACTGGGGGTTGGCTGAGGACATGACAAAGCAGACCCCTTGGGCAACTCTGCTGAAACACATTTGCACACCTCAGCTCTGTCCCTCGAGGTAGTACAGACTGACACCAGAAAAGGAGTTGGAGCCCTTTCTCAAAGTTTCCTGCCCATCATTCCTCTAAAACTAGCTCTTAGGACTCTGGCTCTGATAATGACAGTCCCCATGCCATGTGTCCACTCACTTGTAGAAGGCTTGGTTCTCGATCCCACATTTCCAGAGGTGCTTGCAGGCTTCTGGAGTTGGAGCAAAATATGTGAGAATAATTTTCTTTTCCTACAAAAAATCCCACATAGAAATAGCTGAGTGTGGATTGAGAAGTGAAGGGTGATGTAGGCCAGGACACTGACTGACCCCTGAGCTGTCTGAGGGCTCCCGCAACTCTCAGGTAGAGGCTGTGGGTGGGGAAGGGGCTGCTGGCTAGTTGGAAGAGAAGGCCTGCAGGACCCACTGGGGCAGAGCTCAGCGCTGTGCATGAGCTCACACCTGGCAGGTTCAATCAGAGTCAGTGTCAGCTAGCACCAACTGAACCAAGAGAGCCCTCACCAGAGAAAGTGGCACTCATATCTGGAATGTTCTTTTTCTTTGTATTATCTTCTTGGAATTTTCATATGGAAACAAACGATCTTACTTTGATTGCATTTCCTGGAGGTATGGGATCCCTGGGTATCATCAGCATCCCTGAGGAAGTCCTGTGCTCCAAGGCCTAGCCACTTCTCCATCCCTCACCTCCAAGTGTTGCCCTTGGTCTTGGCTTAGCATGCAGGTGGCCTACCTCTACCTGGATGGGCCACTATGGTTCAGCCTGGCCATCAGGAACCAGCCCAGTGCCCCTGCCCTCCCTGAAAAGAAGGAAGCCAGCACTCACCTCTTTCTGACTTACGTATAAATAGAAAGTTTTTCCTTCAAATTTCAGCTTGGTCACCTCATTCCTAGAAGCACAAAGAAAGTACCAGTCACCTCACTGTGGACGGCTTGTTCACAGCTAAGCCCTGGAGAAGCGCAGCCCACCCCAACTGGAAGGGGCTCCTGGCACAGACACAGTTTCAGCCAAAATTAGAACTGAAACATGACAGCAGCGCAGTGGCCTTAGAGAACAGCTGAAATAGTTCAATCCACAGCTTTCTGGTCAATCACACTATGATAAGGTGACAGGAGGATTTTGGGCTCCTCAATAGTGGCTGTAAAAGGGAAACACTGGCATGGGAAGTGAGTCCAGGTGGAGTGGTCCTGGGCAATTTCAGGATTTGGTTCATAACAGGTGCATTATCTGGATGGGACTATCAAATGTAAGATGCCACAGGCAGCTGATGAGGCCAAAGTTCAAGATACAGCAAATCATGAAAAACAATGCAACCAGGTTCTGAGGGAGTTGAGTCTTTCAGGTGACGGTGCCACTGGATGGAAAATGCAGTTTAATGCAGACAGATGTCCAATGATCTCAGGGAAGGGAGTGGGGGCAACATACCAAAGAGAGAGAACAGATTACATGGAACAGCCATGCAGCATACTGACCAGGAAAGGGGCTTAGGGGTTTCTGTAGAAAAATCCTTGAAGCCACCAGCCCAGTGAATGGCTGCAGTAAAAGAGGCAAACAGGATACTAGGGTACATCACCCGTGGGACAGACACACATCAGAAGGAGTGACGTGGTGACTACACATGGCATGGCTTAGACCTCACCTACCTCCACATACTGCTTGCAGCCTTGGTTACATTGACAAAATGGAAAGATGACCAGGGTCTTAGGTGGATGTTCCTGAGAGCCAGAGAACCAGGCCTCAGCACAGGTCACTCCTCACTTCCCTTCCGTTTGCCTAACGCAGCTGCCCTCTGGGACCAGAAAGGCCCTTCCACCTCACTGGGGGCAGAGTCCTTATTTTTCTCCCCAACTAGGACCCCCAAGAAGGTCTGACCATACAAATCTGCCTCCACTTGGATTCTTCCTCTTTCCAATTTTTTTTTTTGGGAGATTGCCCCAATATCCTAGGAAGTAGTGGAAAGGCAGTGTATCCACTTTACCACTGGATAAAACTCAGGGGACAGAGGAAGGTCACCTGTTTCCTGGAAATCATGGCTGGGTCAGGATGAGAGTTCACCACTCTGACCACCAGTTCTGAGCTAATACAAGCCACACTATATTCCTTCTCAATCAATCAATCAGCCTTTCTCAAACACAGAATACAATCAATATCGATTGGTTAATATATAAACAAGCACACAAATCATCTAGACTTCAACAAGCAACATAGGAAAGTAAGAGCTTTCTATTGGGTTGTCAGAAAAGTCATGACGCATTTTTGCAACAAACAAAAAATACGTCATGACTTCCGACAATCCAATATTAGAAGTGAGATTGGGTTTACATCTGTTATTTAAAGCTGAGAGGTAGTGAGGAAGAGACTTCCTGAAGAAGTGGGCCGTGAGAGAATGAAAAGGTTCTGTGAGAACCAGGTGAGCATCAGGGCTTCTGGACTGCAGGTCCCTGTGACAGGCGATGTGTCCTATCTGTGTCCTGCCAAACGTGCCCCCTACCAGGGACCTCACGAGGCAGCTATCCCAGTGAGAGTGCAGCCCAGGACCCGGGCCCCTAAGGAACATCAGACACCCCAGCTGTCTCCAGGCAGCAAGTGCACCTCACTGGGAGAGGGGTGGCCTGAATCTGCTCATCGTCATTTTCTGAAAAGTAAAGTTACAGGAGACCCCAAACCCTCACCATCTTCATCCAAAGAGCCCCGTGAGTGGGCCACCTTGGGAATGCCTAGCGACCAAGTGTGTTACTCCAGTGTGGGTGTCTTGTGAAGTAGCTCTTTTCCCGGGGAACGGGGGCTGGCTGGGCGTGTCTAAGGAAAGTTTCACTAGCGCTCTGGTTGGTCATCATATGGCCAATCTCCACAAGAGCAATCAGGACTGGCAAGGTGCTATTTGCCCACAAGCTCAGCAGGGGAGCTGAAGAGGACATAGGAGGATGGACGCTCTGCAGCACCCCCAGCAGAGAGCTCACCAGGAAGCAGCTGTGTCCTCAGGCTCCCATTAGCTCTTCTAGAGAAGGCAGAGGAACCAGGACAGGGGCAGTCTGCCCTGCTGAGCTCTGGGCCAAGGAAGGCCTATGGGGGGAGTTGGCCAGTTTAGACTTGGCAGTGTAAGGCCCAAGAAGGTACTAAAATCACAGGGGCTTAGTAGAATACGCAACATGTTCTGATGGGGCTGAAACATGTTTGCACGGGCCAGAGAAAGTCTCCAGGGGAGCCCAATGTCCACCAACAAACCAAAGTCTGTGCTGCATTGGCTCTCAGAGCCATGCAGCTGAACAGACCCCAAACATATGGGCAGAGCAGCTTCAGCTGAAGCTGTGTCTCCTGCCTGCTAGGAATGGGAGTTGGAGGGGGAGAGGGAATGTGACTCTTGGAGGCTGAGGCCACCTAAGCCCTACAGAGGGAGAGGAGAGACAGCGGCTTCTGTGCTCAGGCAGTGCCTACAGTAAGGGTTGGCCCAAGGACGGTGTGTGTCCAAGCAACAGGGTAACTTCTGTCTGCCCCAGGGGTCATCTTTCCTCAGGGAGAAAGCATCCATGCAGATACTATGGCCCTCAGCGGGGGGCAGTCCCAAAATCTCAGCTGTCATGGCAAGTTTCCTTCCCCAACATTGGCTCCAGCCCCAGGCCTCTCAACCAACCAAGAAATCAACCCCCCACAGCCTTTCTTTCTCTGGAGAGGCTGGTGGCTCTCGGGAATACCCCTCCAGAAGAATAAGGTCCCTAGGAAGAGACCACTACCTGCATTAGTTAGCATGACGGATGCCCAATCACAGACAGAGGACATGGGAACCGCAGCCCTCCCCAGTTGGTGAGGTATAAAAAGCCTGTTTTGGAAATGAAGATACTCACCATTTTATGAAGTGGACCCTCTTGTTTCCTTGCAGAACAACAAACCCAAAAGGAGTAAAGGCCAGAAATGCAGCATTTCCTGATACATCCTGCAACACAGAAAGATTTCTCATCAGGGATGCAGGCATAGAGGTGACAGGGTGAGAAACACAGTTGTTCCTCTGTGATACAGAGTTAATACTTGGCAGTAGTTCACAGAGGGAACAGCATGGCATTTGGAAGTAACAGGCAAGTTCCTTACCTTCCCTGAGCTTCAGAGCCCTTAACTGTAAGTTGTAGATTATGATGATACCAATCTTAGACGGCTGTTGTGAACATCCAAAGAGAAGGACGAACCCTCATACATTGCTGGTGGGAGTGTAAAGTGGTGCAGTCACTTTGGAAGCAGTATGGAAGTTCTTCAAATTGTTAAACATGGAGTTACCATATGACCCAGCAATTCTACTCCTGGGTACATACCCAAGAGAAGTGAAAACATGTTCACACAGAAACTTGTGCATGAATGTTTACAGCAGGATTATTCATAACAGCCAAAAAAGTGGAAACAATCTGTCCATCAACTGATCAATGAATCAATAAAATGTGATACACCATACAATGGAATGTTATTAAGCAGTAAAAAGGAATGAAGTACTGACATGCTACAACACAGAGGAACCTGGAAGACATTATGGTAAGTAAAAGAAGCCAGTCACAAAAGATCACTTATTGTATGATTCCATTTATATGAAATGTCCAGAAAAGGTGAATCCATAGGGACAAAAAGAAGATTACTGGTTGCCAGGAGCTGTGGGGAAGGAGAGTGACAGCTAGTAGGTACAGGGTTTCTTTTTTGGGTGGTAAAAATGTTCTAAAATCAGATTGTGGGAGGGCCGGCCGAGTGGCTCAGTTGGTTAAGAGCTCACTCAAGAGTGTGAGCTCTGAGTAACAGCGGTCCGATGCCCAGCCCGAGCTGAGCTGCCACTGAGCTGCCAACAGGTGGCAGGATGGCTCAGCTAAAAAATAAAATAAAATAAAATAAAATAAAATAAAATAAAATAAAATAAAATCAGATAGTGGGGACAGTTGCATGATTCTGCGAATATATTAAAAACCACTGAATTGCACACTTTAAAAGATAGTCTTTATGATATGTGAATTATATCTCAAAAAAGCTGTTAGAATGAATATGGCAGTTATCATTATCATAGGCCCTACACAGTGGGCTCTCCCAGGAAAGCTTAGCTGAAGAAAAGAAGCAACTGGCCAAGTAGAACAGCCATCACCAGCCCTATGGTGCCTGAACCAGCAAAGGGGCCTCCTAGTCACCTGTCACCATCAGCCTATAAACACCAAGCTTGAGGTTCTGCTGAGCAGAGAGAGAAGAAGGTGCAGCAGAAACATTAGGTCATGGCTCCCTCACATGGGAAAGCGAGATCCGTGAGGACCAGGTCTTTTCTAGTTTGGGACGAGACACAGAAAGCTGGTTGATGGATTATGTTCTCTCAGAGAAGCTTCCTTCGTGATAGGCGCCTCGGTTAAGAATCTGCTTCATCAGGGTGTGAGAGTGTTCCGATGGCCAGAAAATTATGGCAGGATGCTGGTCAAATGTGCGTGCAGGAGAGTTGTCTGGGCCACAGCTTAGATGGTGCCATGAAGTCGAGGTGAGGCACCTGGCGTGAGGCATGCAAGGTAGGGGGCTGTGGCCGTCGGGCTGTCCTCTCCCGCCTTCATGGTTTACCTCCATTGAACAGATCTTCAGCCTGTTCGGTCCTAAGAACAGTGGGGCCTCCGCAGGATTTCAGAAGCCTTGCCTCAAGAAAAAAAAAATGCAGTTTTGCCTTCAAACTGTCTTTTAGTCAGGGTGATAGGTGTGAGCATCTGGGCCCAGGGAATAAGCTAAGTACATGTTTAGCAAACATTTCCAATTTTAATGTATTTTTATTATTGCCCTTTCCTCAGGGTCTGTCATGATCCCGACACTTGGCTGCAAGCACAATGTCATTCAACTCATGGGTACAGTGAAAAGCTGTTTAAAAATAATGTGAATGGAGATACTGTGAAGCCACGGGGCTGGATTTGCTCCTGCCTGCCTGTCATCAGTGCTTGGTGATGGTGGCGGTGAATACCTGAGTGCCAGCACTGCACACAAGCACGGTCCCTGCTAGGGGGCACCAGAGTGAACCTGGCAGGCTGCCAGAGATACAGGTCAGGGCAGGCTGGCCCTTAGGGTGGAGAATGCCTGAGAGAGGTGGGAGAGGGACGGCTCTGCTGGTGGGGAGGCAGCCCGCCTCAGACGGAGGGTGGGCACCAGGGAGGCCTTCCACTCACTCTGCGGGCAGGACCCAAGGAAGTCCTAAAACTGTAGGTTTCCAAAGACAGACTTGAGGGCGGAGACCTTATTTGTACTCACAGAACAGGCCCTCAGGAAATATTTGGCAGGTGAGTGTGTAAGACAATGAGGTGGGCCAGAAGGGGCAGCATGGCTGTGGTGGGGCAGGCACATAGGTGAGCAAGAAATGAGAGGGGGAGGTGCAGTGGGGTGGAGGTGGGGCAGGTGTCTTCAGTGCTTTCTGAGAGGAAGGAAAGGCCTTCCTGAGAGAAGGGAGCATTGGTGGAAGGAGAGAAACAAAGGGTCAGGCCTACAGGGGACTGAAGATGGCTTCACACACCAGGTAAAGAATAGAAAGGGAAGCAGCAGGGCGGGCAGGGAAGGGCCTCTTTGCTTCTTGCATCCTGACCCCTGCAGGCAGGAAAGGTCAGCGCCATACCCACGGTGCCGCAGGCTCCGGCCAGGCCACTCAGGCCCAGGTTCCGGCTCTGCCGCTCGCTGCCTGTGTGACCTGGGCCACGTCCCTTCATTTCCCTGTGTTTCAGACTCCTCGTTGTAAAATTAGTGTTGATAATATTATCTGCCTCTTAGGTTGTGCTTAGTTGTGCTTAGCAATACATGCTAGTGCTCATGTTGCTATGAATGTTATTATGGCTGCTACTAATTATCTCAATTTTGTTGAACTTAATTCAAAATACTTTTTAAAAAAACTCTAACATTTTACTATTTTTTCCTGGTGTTGATGGATTGAAATGTTGCAAGTTAGGAAATGAGGGTATAGGAAGTTGGGATAGAAAGGGAGAAGTCACTCATTGTTAGAGGACCAGAGCAAAGGGGGATTTGGGTGATACATTTGGGAACCGGGGTGAGAGTGAAGTGGGCAGAAGGGGAAGGAGATGGGCTGTGACAGAGATCTGTGGGCGTCCCCCCAGTGACTGGGTGCTGCTGGCCAGGTTACCTAGTGGGCATCGTCCATCTGCACCATCCAGACACCTCAGGGGTGGCCTCCGAGTGAAGGCAGGTGCTGGAATTGGAGGGGAAGAGCCCCTCCTGACCAGACTGATTTGGAACAGGGAGCAAACTGGGAATAAACACGATTAGATGCTCCATCATTCCAATAATAACAACACCTTGAGGAATCCCAATCCAGCCTCTCAAACTGCTTCCAATGCAAGTTGCAGATGAAGACCACTGCAAGGCCCTGGTGCCCGGGCATCCACGGGGCGGAGGGCAGCCGAAATGCTGGCACATGAGGAGAGGGACTTAGAATTACAGTGAGAACCCTCACATCTGTACCAGCATGAAAACACAAACAGGCAGCCACGCTGACTCCCTTCTCTGGAACTTTCCCAGTTTCTTCTCTCTATCATGTCATTCTTGTGAGCCTGCCCTTGGGATTTGTGTGAGAAAGGACAAGTTATGTGACAAAAAGAGAAGGAAATGAGGACAAGGAGAGAAGTGACATAGACAAGAGTACCCTGTCCTCTTCGCATCCTGATGAAATCAGTACCCACAGGACTGAGCCATTAATGGACCTGGGAGGTGGAATAAAATCTCAGGTCTTGTCAGCCACAGGCGGATATCGCCAGCTGCATGCCACATCAGCTAGCGGTCAAAAGAATTTAGTTCACGTTTACAGTTTGAGGTAAAAAGTTTTCAATTTTTCATCTTGTGGAAAGAGCTTCTGTCTTGATTTAGGATCCCAGCTCTGTTTCTTATTTGCTCTGTGACTTACTTCTCTGAACCTCAGTTTCCTCATTTGTAAACTAAGGACAATAATACATACTTCAAATATTCTCCTTCCGTCTGATGGCCTCAATGACTCGCTGCCAAGGGCATGGCCAATAATGCTTTTCTTGGAGCGGAGATGGATTTGCACTGAGTCACTCACAGGTTCATGTGGGAACCACCCTCAATTCAGTATCATCAAAGGTTCACTCTAAGATGATCACTCTGCCCAGAAAAGGATGTTTGGAAATCATAGCACTGGCTGGTTCTTGGAAGTAGGGACACCTGGCCACCTTTGTCCAGTCTCCACAGGTTCCACCTCCGGATATAATGATGTAGGCTTCCGTCTGCTGCCACCCAGGAGGACATCCTGGGTATGACAGAGTAAGGACCACAGCATTCTTGGTTGTTACACCGTTCAGAGTCATCGAGTCCCTCTCTAGAGCATGACTTAAACTAATTCAACCTGGGTGGATGAAGCCTCTATTACTCTTAAAAAATCTTAGGGCAGAAGATTCCCCATGCTTTTCAGACACATATGCCCATTCCCGAAAGAACTTGTAGCCGGGAACCTTTACATTAAGTCAATCATGAAAATCGCCCAGTTTCAATGTACTTAAACAAGGCCACAAGAAACTAGGGTGGAAATGAGGAGGAGGAGGAATGAAGCACTCAGTAAGAGGCTTTGCGTCACCCCATGACAGCCCGGAAATGGAAATCTTGGCAGAGACTTGCCACCTAGATGGCTTTACTCCAGCTTTTCATTTCAGCAGTCAACCTAACGTTCTCCCCACAGCGCAGCCAAGAGGGGCCCACTTGAGGGTGAGGGCATCACTGATCCTTTTTGTTCTGTTTCTCTGAGGTCAGAAGCAACTTGTTGAGCTGGGGGTTGGGGAGGGGTTATTTAGAGAGGAGCCTAGGGGTTTGGATTATGAAAGTAATGATCCTATTTTAAGGGCAGAGGAATGACACTGTAATTTTATGTAGTTGCTCCAGCCTAGATCCTGCTGAAATCAGTTTTCTCCTGGTCTATGAAGAACAGACATATGGTCACTTGGTGAACTTACATTAAATTTTTATATGATGATTTCAGTACTCTCGTAGGTCTTTGTCCTCTGGTAGAATTGGCAGTGGGTCCTGCTTTGCTCCTAAAGAAATGCCATCTCTCCAGAGGAAGGTCATGAATGATAACTGAAAGAGCATAGCATCAAGACTCAGATAACTCTGGGTTCAAGTCCCAGTACTGTCTGTACCAGTGACTCTGGACATGGCAGTTAGTACCTCAGAAGCTCAGTGTTCTCATCTTAAAAAGAGGACAGGAGTAGCTTTGTAGCTTCTTGGCCGTGTTGTTGAAAAGATTAAATGAAATAGTTAATGCATGTAAGTGCCTAGCAGGTGTAGGCTCTCAGTAAATGGACACCCTGATGGCTTATAATAAGGCTGGTTTCTGTGACAGGTCTGACCACTCCACAAACCTCAACAGGGCAGAAGGCCACACTCCGGGCCTGCAGGAGACCCAGGGCAAGCAACCAGTCCTGGGGCCCCCTGAAAGGAACAGGATGGTGGCTTCTGAGGTTGGAGAGGCCAGGGCTGGGAGCAGGTACAATGGAGCTGCCTGTTGTCTGCTCCACTCTACTCGTTCAGCAGCTGTAGGCTTGGTCTGCCGGGGCTCTTGCCAGGAGTTGGGGGCTGAGGGGAGAGGCAGAGAGCTCAGGACAGCTTGTGCAAGCTCAGAGTTTGGGTATTATTGTAAGCCAGCGAGCAAAGGGAGCCCTCAGTCTGTCCGACCCAGAGTTGGTAGGATCTCCTCTTTCTGGTCCCAGTGCCAGGTAAGGACACTGGGCAGAAAGAAACCACCAGCGTGGACAGGAAGAACAACCGCTTCTTAATCAGTCCAGGAGAACAGAGCCCAGCCAAAGCATTCTGCTCTCATTTAATTATCAAAACGATGCTTCTTCTTCTGTCCTCCCTAGGGCTGCCTGCCCCAGATTCCCTGAGCCCAGTAATTGCCTCTGTGTTAATAGAAATCATCAGTATTTATTACACCGAGTGCTCCAGCTTATTTCGGCTCTCCTTGTAGCAACATTAAGGCGAGTGCTTGGTAGCATATCACCAAAGTAACTCTACTTAATGACAAGAGTAAAGGCTCCCAAACTGTTCTTGCTCAGGAAGGCTGTGGAAATCCTGAGCCGGAGACCAATGAGATGAGCTGAAGGCCCGTGTGTGGGTTCTGCAGCAGGGCTCTGACATGGCTCTGCGTGAGCAAGAAGTATAGGGCCCAGGAACAGGGGACTGGAAGTATAGGCCATTGCTATGACCGCCCTCACCTTCTCCCCAGAGGAAGTAACCTGAGGGCTTCTGTTCCTTGTAGATACATAATGGGAAGCGACTTGAGTTCAAATTCTTGCTTTACCACTCAGGGCCTTGTAAATTGTGGCTTCCTGGAACTTTTACCTTCTTATCTATAAACCAAGGAGAACAATATCCACCTCCCAGGGCTGGCATGAGGATTAAATGAGAAAAGAATGTGAAAAAATCCCAGTGGTCCTGCCATGGGAAGTGTGCCACACATGTCTCTTCCTTCCTGCAGCCTCTTCAGTTTCTGTGTCTGATGATGGACAAGCTCATCAAAACCAGGGCTGAGCCAGGAGCCCCACAGTCCTAGGATGAACACGGATTTGGGCTGGACACCAGGCTGGGTCTGTAACTCCCAGACCCCCACAGGCAACAGTGGAGAATCCCCACTCAGTTATCGTGACCCGGTTCACTGTTCACCCATTATGTGCTGTCAGGTGGCAGCCTTGCCCAGGGACCCATCTCGGAAGAGGTGGGTACTGTGTGGCCTTAAGGGGACGGTGCAGGCTTGGAGTCAAAAGCAGAGGTGCCTGGTACCTTCTGATGACCATATCTATCTTTAGGCAGCCAGGTATTTTCATTAAGGCTCTTCAGTGACTCAGTAGTTCAGGAGGCAGTTACTGAGTACCTAGTGGGTACTTCCACACAGATGAGGAAAGTGAGGCTCAGAAAAGCCTCCAAAGGCCCCAGTCAGTAGGAGACCAGCGTTGGAGCTGAGGCCAGCTGGCTGCAAAGCTCTTCTGCAGCCCTATGCAGGCTCCCTGCCAACAGTATTTGAGCACTTTATGGAGGTTCAACTACATCAGTTATGCAGAGGGCATTATTTGGGAAGTTTTGCTAATTCATTTGTAAATATCCATGTCAATTCTTTGTTATAAACAGACATGAATGTGTTTTCTGACAGTGCCAGCCCCGGAAAAAAACACAGGGGTTATCTGGCAGTAGGCTCTGAGGGTGGATAGGAAACTGAGGGGGTGGGGAACACCTTCCCCAGGGCTTCTGAGTGCTAGAATGTTCTCAGAGTTCATATTTCAAGTTTCAACCTTAAATCCCAGGCAGCAACAAATGACCATCACCTCACCAAGCGGCCGAGGGAAACAACGCTGCCCCACGTCACTGGGTTCCTGGGTTTCTATTCTATTCTTTTAGTTTTTGTTGGAAACATACAGTGTTCCCTCACCTAGTAGAAAGAAAAGGTCAGTGTCCTGCTCCCATTGGATACTGTCTCCCTCAGATGAGTCTGAGTCACTTTTACTGGCCATACTGGGGTCTCTCCAGTAGCAGAAAGAGAGAGGAAAACGTTGGGAAAAAAGAAGGCGGAGACTAGGAGTGTCAAAACACCTGAGATGCGGAGACGAAGTGGAGGGATGTGGCCACAGAGACAGGAAAAGCCCACGGGTCTCCACTGCTCTCCGCAGTGATGGTGGCAGCTTGAGCTCATCTCCAAAATACCAGACCCATGTGAGTAATTACAGAGGTTTTCCTCTGGGCAGAGCCTCTCCGGCTGGTTCCCGTCTCACCCTCACAGGCACATAATGGAATTAAATGTGACTCCACTGCAGTTCTGCGCAGTGACTTACGCTGCTGTAGTCAATAAAACCCACTCTTGGAAAGAAACTAGATTATGGGTCAGGGAAGGGTGGGCAGTCCTCCGAGCTGCCTCTGATCATTGTGTGTGTGTGTGTGTGTGTGTGTGTGTGTGTGTGTGGCGGGGGGAAGGAGGGGGGGCTTCCACATTCCTCCTCTCTTCATTTCTACCAAGTTACCCACTGCTGCCCAAATGGAGCCCCAGTTTCATATTTATTATTTAGAAGGACTTTGCTTCACACATCGATGTGGCAGCACAAAATTATGCAGTGTGGAATCCAGAGTTTACAAAATGAGATGTTTCCTCTGGCATCTGTCACTCAAAGGGCCAATCATCCAGCTATTGAAGGGGCGGAGGGTACAGGCATGGGATCCCTCCCTGCCTGTTGCCCTCTAGAGGAGGTAAGGTCAGCGCAGTCTCCCACCATCGGGGTCTTACCTTACACGGATGAGGGTCCACTCCATATGTCTCCAATGTCTGCGCTTTTCTTAAAAAGTTCAGCTCTGATGTTGCTGGTGTTTGACCACTGGAATACAGAAAATGAGATGATTTCAGGGTTTCCAATTCCCAAAGCTTCCTCTGAGGTAAATTATTAAGAAGTGCTCAGGGTGTGTCTCACACTTCATTTTTTTTCCGTGTGCTCCCTGCTCTGTTCTAGGACCAACTTCAGAGATTCCTGTCTTGGGTCAAAAACTCAGATGTCTTCAGGGCAACATAATGAATGACATGGGCTGAGTTAAAACAGTAGAGCGTCGTGGGGACTGTGGAAAATTGGGGAGTGCTACCCCATCTCATGAGGGCAGCTGCTCCTCAGCTCCAACATTATAGTCATGTGGGAATGTAGGGCCCAGCATTGCTAGATGTGATTTTTTTTTTAAACTTAATTGGGGGACAATTTGTTTTTTTCCAGGACCCATCCGCTCCAAGTCAAGTCGCTGTCTTTCAATCTAGTTGTGGAGGGCGCAGCTCGGCTCCACGTCCAGTCGCCATTTTCAATCTAGTTGTAGGGGGCACAGCCCACCATCCCAGGCAGGACTCGAACCGGCAACCTTGTTCAGAGCACGTGCTCTAACCAACTGAGCCACCCAGCTGCCCCTAGATGTGATTTTTAAAGAGAAGTCAGAGATAATTGATTTTTATGTGGTATTTCATGATTTTAAATACTATGGGAGCAAACAAAACACATCTATAGGCTGGCTGCAGGCCATGGGTTTTTCATCTGTGATCTGGTCTAGACTGAAATACAGAAAAGGGGCCTTTGTATCTTGCTGGTGCTGCCTAACCCTCTTTACCGAGAGGGGACTTGGGGATGGAGGGTGACGAGATGCAGCAGGCGACAGTGCTGAGCTCCCCAGCCTCCACTATACCTCTGTCCACAGGGCGATGACTATGAAGAAAAAAGGAACAAGAGGAAGAAACCAGCCCACACCATCTGAAGAAAGGGTCTGTAGCATCCTCCCCCTCCTGGCTGCCTCTGTAGCAGGAGTGTTGGGATGCTTAACACAGACCAGTGGCAATATCACCGTGGGACTCCCGCAGGGCCCAGAGCCCTGGTGAAGCGGACATACTTCTACAGATGTGGGATTGGTTCGGTGTGAGGAGGGGTGGGGGCAGTTTGTGAAGTCAACAACTCTGATGGCTGGTGGGCAGGACTGGAAGTTGCTTACTTCTAGTTCATCATTTGCCTCAAGGAATCTGGCAGGGCAGGAAGACAAACCACCCCAGGGAGGAAGAGGCCAGATTCCCTCTAGTGGCCCTCCAGCGGGGCATCAGTCAACCAGCACCTTATGTGCCAGCCTTTGTGCGGCCTGCGGTAAAATATACCAAGAAATTTAGCGCACAATCTGGGCCCTCGAGGAACTCATGATAGAGTCAGAGAAAGGAAACACAGGTGCAGTTTTACATTATGAAGACGAGGCTGACCCTATGTAAGCAGGCATTACGTTGACTGCAGACTTCTACACCTACTAGCATGCCAAGACACAGGGAAGGTGTTTGGAAAATGCTTGTGCAGCAGACCAAGGGCTGGGCACCAGAGGTGGCTGAGCACCGCTGCCTCTTCTGGGAGCTTCCTCATTCAGCCTGGAAGCTGGAGGGCCCAGTGGGCTCCATCCACCCCTTGAGTCAGCTCAAACCTCTGGGAACCTTAAAGCGTGTATCATTTTCCGGGGGGATCCCCTGCATTCTACTAGGTTTCCAGAGGACTGTCCCCGCTGATGTGACGTCTCAGAAAGCCCTCTGGCAGCGCCCCGGGGGAGTCCCAGCACATCCCTGCTCTCCTTTGAATGAAGCACCAGCCCTCACACAGGTCCGCGTGTATTCCGACCTTTACCACAAGGGGCCGCTATTTCCCTAACAGAGAGCGATGGGAAGAGTACGGTCACCCCGGAAAGGCCACGCTTGCACAGGGTGGGTTGGGAAGAAGTCCTGCCACACACGGTGGGCAGGAGGTCTGTTTACAAAGGCTAAGGAGGCTTTGGGGACATATTTGTTGGTAAAATCTTTGGGTGAAGGTGAAGAGATAGAGAGGGAGGGAGGGAGAGGGAGAGAGAGAGGGAGAGAGAGAGAAAGAGAGAGAGAGAGAGAGAGAGAGAGAGAGAGAGAGAG